TGAGGCCCACACAGCCCGGGCACTGCTGCCATAAAGCAGGAGTGCCTCCGCCCGGAAGCCCTCAGACTATCCACCCCTCTGTCCCAAGGGCCTGCGCTGGGGGCCTCCGCCCTCCTCCCACAATTGGGCAGGCCGCCCGGCTCCACACCGCCAGTGCTCCACTCCCTGGTGGTCACCACCCCCTCCTTTGTGCAACCCCGCATTTCCTTCCCTTTTCCATTCCTGATCTTTTTTTGTTCCCTTTCTGTATTTGTTTCCCTCTTGGCCTATCTGCCTGAAAGCCTGCCTTTCTCTCCCTCTCCTTTTTTATCCCCTCCTATCATGTCCTATCCTACCTGCCTGAGCCTCGCAGCTGTCTGAGCAGGGGGCGGGATGCAGCCTGCCTATCAGTCCTTATGTGATGGTGTCCCAGACAATTTGCATATTCCTCTATTATTAGTATAGGCAGGCAAATTTGATCTGTTCTAAGCAAAAGTCTAAAAGATTAGAGTTTGCACATTAATCTAAAGCCACATCACTAAATCCTATTAAAAAAAAATGCAAACCTGTTTGGCTCAGTGGATAGAGCATCCGTCTGCGGACTGAAAGGTCCCAGATTCGATTCCAGTCAAGAGCATATACATTGGTTGCAGGCACATCCCCAGTCGGGGGTGTGCAGGAGGCAGCTGGTCCATGATTCTCTCTCATCAACGTTTCTAGCTCTCTATCCCTCCTACCTTCCTCTCTGTAAAAAAAAAAAAAAAAAAATCAATAAAATATATTAAAAAAATTTAAAAATAAAAAATGCAAAAGAGCCTGGCCAGTGTAGGCTAAGTGGTTGTGTGTTGACCTATAAAACAGGAGGTCACAGCTCAATTCACAGTTAGATTCCTGGTCAGGGCACATGCCCAGGTTGCAGGCTCGATCCCCTGTGTGGGACGTGTAGGAGATGGTTGATCAATGATTCTCTCCCATCATTAATGCTTCTATCTCCCTCTCCCTCTTCTTTCTTCTCTGAAATCAATTTAAAAATATATTTTTGAATGCAAAAGAGATGAATTCTCAATAGTACTTTGCATAAAATGGCATAATTTTGTAGGATTCAGAATTTTTTGTTGTTAATCCTCGCCCAAGGATATTTTTTTCCATTGATTTTTAGAGAGTGGAAGGGAGGGAGGGAGGGAAGAAGAAAAGGGGAGAGAGGTTGGAAGAAGTGGGAGAGGGGGACGTGAAGGGGGAGGGATGTGAGAAACATATAGACTGGTTGCCTCCCGGATGCACCTAGACTGGATGATCCTACAACCCAGTTGGGAATCAAACCCAAGACCCTTAACGTGGGAGGGCCCTATGCTCTAACAACTTAACCATACCAGCCAGGGCAGGATTCAGTATTATTTTTGTTTCACATTTAATAAAGCCCAAGGTTTCAAATCACTAAATGTTTACACTAAATGCAAGAAAGTTGTTCTTTTTAAAAAAATACATATTTTATTGATTTTTTTTTTTTTTTTTTACAGAGAGGAAGGGAGCATAGAGAGAAACATCGATCAGCTGCCTCCTGCACACCAGCTACTGGGGATGTTCCCACAACCAAGGTATATGCCCTTGCTGGGGATCAAACCTGGGGCCCTTCAGTCTGCAGGCCAACGCTCTATCCACGGAGCCAAACTGGTTAGGGCAAGAAAGCTGTTCTTAATTGTCTAGATAATCCTTTTGATAATAACACACAAAAACTGGTCATTCAGTTTCTGCATCCGCTGAACTCTCAGGGCTATTAATTTTTAGGTTATTTTTCAGCATATTTTTATTCCTAATGTACAAATACCAGAAAGGCAATACCAGCTACCCTAGTGGGGCAATCTCTGCAGTTTTTCTTAAAGAATTTATTACTTGGGTGGTAACTTCGTGTCCACTTTCTAATTATTTGTTTGTACTGTACATTAGATCTTTTTTTTATAACATGTTTCACAACTTAAAAGTTTTTTAAATGCTTATTTTTTTAAGTTTTTGTGTGTGTTTTGTTTGTTGTTTTAATATACAGCTTTCTTAAAAGTCCACAGCTAAGAGATGTCAGAAACACAAAACTCAATAGATGCAATACTATCTTGGCTATGGCCAAAATGCCACTGCACAAATCTCCATATGACACTTCTTAATTTTCTTCTTTATCTCAAAATCAATTTGATAAGCTAAATTTTGCTTACCCACAAAATCTCAGGAAGCCACACAGTCCTTAAATTTCAAGTATCTATATATTTCAAGAACCTTGAATATAAGTTATGCCAAAATAAGAAATAGCATGTTCGAAAAATGCTCTATCCTTACATTAAAAATTAATGTTTAATTGTCTACCAAGGTAAGGATAAAGCAGGCTATGAAGAAAAAGTCAAGAAACACACACCCACATATATATTTTTAACCTTCTAAAAAGTATTCAGACTGAAATCTGAAAATCTAATCATACTCAACATGATAGTCTATTAGGCCTCAGGAGTTCCTCAAGTCGCTTAGGTGAAATAATTCTTGTGCTTTCTTACTTCACATTCAAAGGAAAAGAGTTGAGTTATTGTGTGGGAATTCTATCCAACATTTCAGAAGGTATAATATAAACTCAAGGTTTTTATTATTAGATAATAATATATTTCTATGGTTAAAAATGGAAACTGTATTCATATTAAAAATTTTCATTTTCATTTTCACTTTCTCCTCAATACAGCCCTAAATCTAAATGAAAAAGGGAACCTCGTAAGGAAAGAGTTATCATTTGTAGATGAATCAACTATTACACAGATTCACATTGAAATTTAAAAATAAGCCAAGAACCCATTTTCAAATTCAAAATCTTGTCAATAAGCAGAAGTACTTTAGGAGTAATAACACACATCCATCTAGTAAAAACTGAACATTTCCTAAATTCACAAAACTGAAAATATGCCTTTAACCTTCTTCTGTTCATGCCACACTATAGAGGCACACTGAAAACGGAAGTGTTGGGGGGAGGAAAAAAAAATAAAAAAATAAAAAAATAAAAACGGAAGTGTTTAAAGGTACTTACTTATTAAGCACTTAGTAAGGTCAACAATAAAAACCAAAAACAAAACTTGGTAAGCTTTTAAAAAAATGTGTTAGGTAGCCATCGTATAATCAATTTTTTAAAAATTTACCACTATTAATATTTATAAAAAGATTAGCTTGAAGAAATAAAGATCATCATTCATTGAAAACTCAAACGCTGGACATATTTATTAACAAAGGAATAAATCACCTTAGCTGCTCTTTCACATATGACAGACTCCATTTAAAGTAAAACTAAACACAGCATTTCATCAAGAAGCAGACTTTATGGATACTAAATTCTAAACCTTTTTAAAGCTTTAATGATTTTAATTTTTAAGTGTCTAAAATAGACTACCTTTTCATTTTTTTTTGCCGGGACCGGTTTGGCTCAATGAATAGAGCGTTGGGTTGGGGACTGAAGGGTCCCCGGTTCGATTCCGGTCAAGGGCATGTACCTGGTTGCGGGCATATCTCCAGTAGGGGGTGTGCAAGAGGCAGCTGATCGATGACTCTTTCATCGATGTTTCTAACTCTCTATCTCTCTCCCTTCCTCTCTGTATAAAATTAATAAAATATATTTAAAAAAAATAAAATAGACTACCTTTTCGTTTTTTAAAGAACATAATAAATACCCATCATAACTTATTTTCTTCCTGATAGACAAAAATAAAAAATAATCAACAGTGCCTGCTAAGATTTTTTAAAAACTTTCAATGAGGTATTTTTAGTTCATTTTTAAAAATTTACCAGTGTCTCATTTTTCTTTCCAAATCGTTTTCCAGGATGATAATGGACCCCTTATTTTTTTTTAATTTAATTGCTATCTTATTTCATTGCTAATTTTATTAAAATAGGAATAAATCTACCCCAAACCACTTCATTACATAAAACACAAACTTCCAAATACTTGGACATGCCTAGCTGGTGTGGCTCATGGTTTGATTCCCACTCAGGCACACACCCAGGTTGCAGGCTCCATCCCCAATGCAGGGTGTAAAGGGCATGCAGGAGGCAGCCAATCAATGATTCTCTCTTATAATTGCTGTTTCTATTTCCTTTCCTCTCTGAAATCAATAAAAATATATTTTTAAAAAAAGATATTTGGACATTAATTTGTGTATGCAAAAATATTCTGTGCATATGCTATATGTAAAACATAGTAAATATGAATAGAAACAATCCTTTAGCTCACTACAACTTAATCCTCTTGCATTCATTATACTAAATGTGCTTAAGCTTGAGAATTGCCCCTCACCTTGAGCTTTCACAGAAAGCTCAAATACTTTCATAATAATGATGTAATGTGGCCGGGACCGGTTTGGCTCAATGGATAGAGCGTCGGCTTGGGGACTGAAGGGTCCCGGGTTCGATTCCGGTCAAGGGCATGTACCTTGGCTGCGGGCAGATCCCCAGTAGGGAGTCTGCAAGAGGCAGCTGATCGATGACTCTCTCTCATCGATGTTTCTAACTCTCTGTCTCTCTCCCTTCCTCTCTGTACAAAATCAATAAAATATATTAAAAAAAAAAAAAAAAAAAAAAAAAAAAAAAAAAAAAATGATGTAATGTGATGTGGTATAAAGAGCCAGGTAACAGGATGTCTCCAAAGCCTGTTTTCTCTCTTGTAAAATAAAATAGTTGTACTGTATCTCTTTTCTAGTTAAATAAGCTGTTAGGGACCTGTTCAATGACTTATGTGAACCAACATTCCAAACAATGAAATACTATATGACCTTTAAAAAAAATGCTATAGATTCATAAGGGCTCATTTAGAAGGATGTCCCAGATAGACTATTAAAACAAAAATGCAAAATGCAGATAGTTATATGCACTTTAAGACAGATGTACATATATGTACAGAAATATTCTAGGACACACAAGAAATTTCAAATGATCATCAATAGGAAATAGGGGAACTTTTTAAAACCTCTTAGTCTTTTATAATAATTAAAAAAATAATAATAAATATGTATTACTTGAATGAATTTTTAAAAGACCTAAAAGTAAAAATTACTGATTCAGGTTACATAATTAGAAAAGACATGAGTTCAAATACTACTTTTGACATGATGAACAGCGTGCTGGAGAACTTCACCATCCTGCAGGTGGTCACCAACAGAGACACACAGGAGACTCTGCTGTGCATTGCATATGTCTTCGAGGTGTCAGCCAGCGAACACGGGGCTCAACACCATATCTACCGGCTGGTGAAAGAATAAGAGACTCAGGGAGCAGGGATGGGGGAAGAGTCGTGTGTGTGTGTGTGTGTGTGTGTGTGTGTGTGTGTGTGTTCAGGGACATGGGGTGGGGACCTGCAGGGACAGCCCCTTGAAGTGCCGAGCAAGCTGACCCTTCCTCCCCAGGGACAAATTGTGCCTCAGCCTGCAGTGCCCAACCCCAAATAAACCCAAGATGTGTATTTTCAAAAAAAAACAAAAAACAAATACTACTTTTGCTATTTACTATGTATAATGTTGTTAAGCTACTTAAACCTCAATTTTCCCATTTGTAAAACAGAGTTAATATTACTAACCTCACACAACTAACTGTCTGGAGGGTAAAGAAAACCATGCATGTAAGACACTCAGCATAGCATATTTTAAGAGGACAATTATTATCAGCTATAACTATGATTATTGTGAATGTTATTATAAACTCCATAAACAGAGTATTTAGAATCAAATTTGACAATTCACTCAAGAATGTTCAATCTCAAAGCAACCAATTTCCTTTAACCAAAACTCAAAACTCATTCAACTGGGTCCACATAAGAGCACATTTATTAAAGTTAAAAACAAAAAGAAAAAAAAACTTTCACAGCCCTGGCCGGTTAGATCAATGGTCAAAGCATCGGCCCATGCACCAAAGGCCACATTCAATTCCCAGGGTCACAGGTTCTTGATCCTTGGCCCTTGTTGGGGCTTTGGGAAAGGAAACCAAACTATGTCTTTCCCACCCTTCCTCCCTTCCACTCTCTCTAAAAAGTAATGGAAAAAAAATACCCTATAGAGAGGATTAAAAAAAATAAAACATAACAAAAACAACCTCTCACAGGTAGCAGGTGGGCTGATGGGTATGGTAATCAGAGTAAAGTTTGGGTTTTGATTAAGTCTTATCTAACTAGAATAGTCTTCTTCATTATATGGATACCTATCCAAGATACCAAACTACTCATGACAACTGGACAAGGGTCCCTGATCTTTATAAAATGCTGCATACATAGAAATACACTTTATTTTTAGCAATTCAAGCTGCCAATGTGAGTTATTTATTTTAACATATGGTTTTCATTTTCTTAAAAATGTATGGAACTAATAGTTCATGCACATAATTTGCAAATTAATTACAAATAACATGTCAAGTGAGTGGAGATATAAAAATGCAATCTGCATAAAATTAATTCCAAAAAAAGCTTACTGAATGGCGTTTGGAGTGAAACTTTTTCTCACAAATTTTCCAAAAATTTGGGCTTAATTTTATCAAATAAAAATACTCCCAAGTTGTAAACCTGACCTTTATATTGATACTAAAAGTACTTTCACAAGGTACCACTCTAACATTATTCAATTTCATTTTTTTAAAAGATCAAGAACACATCCTAAACTTCTATATAAAAACTGAAAAAATGTTGTATTAGGGTAGATTAAATCAGTATGTAGTGCAACTGGTTTGGGTCCATTATATTACAATTTTAACAAGCCTACCTGGTATTAACAAACAGTTTCAGTATCAACATGATTAATTAAAGTTTAGAGTACTCCAATTATAATTATAAAACAAAACAGGAGGTCACACACATTTAATCCTTTCCAATATGGAAATAAGAGTCTCCACCTAATGTATCTATTGTAAACTTGTCAGGATTTAAACTGAATTTCACAGCACACAAATAATTACATTTAAATATACTGAGGAGTTACTGTAGCTTTCCTGAGAGTAGCCTAAAGTTCCCACCAAAAATATTGGCACTTCAACGAGGCTGAGAACTGCATGCCTACTTCATAGATTATTTGCAATATGCTGAACTGTTGTTGAAGCTTGTATTACATGAAAGTGAAGGGGAACAGCGTTTATAAAAAGAAAAAAAAAAGAAAAAAGAAAATGCTTCTTAACCTATAAGCAAGAGCTATCTGAAACACATTTTAAAATTCTACACATATTTTCTAATATCCAAAATACAGCAAGCAGATAATCTATGACAAGCAGATCTTCCTATCCCTTCTCACCCCCACACAATGCTTTGCCAAGAGCACAAGTCCAAGTAAAATAACCGATGCAATTTCCTTGTTTACTTAAAGAATTGCAGAAAACATGTTGACTGCTTCCGAGGCCTCTGAGGGCAATGAATATTGAAAAGATCTTTCACGGTCATGTTGGAAATAAGAGAGCGCTAAATGATTCCTTCAGCTAGTAAATATACAGTCTTAACTTTATAAGAAGGGTTAAATTTTACACTGCGGTTCATTAGCATGCCTAGTTTGCAACCAGAAGGAAGAGGGAAGGGGGTGGGGAGACAGCAAAACACACAAGATGGAAAACATCACTACCTCCTTTCGGTGGTTAAGAATAATTCTAAATGACCTCAAGATGGAAGCGAAGAGTTCATGAACAGAAAGGAAGGGGGTTAACGCTCTGAAACGGCCCTTCCAGATTCGCACGGATGTCGGAGAGAAGGAATTTATTTACTCTGCAGTGCCTGGCAGCAAACATGGCTGCCCCAGCCCCCTTTAAATCGGAAGAGTCTCCACTCCCTCACCAAGACCATCGAATTGTGGCCATGCCTCTCCCTGCCTTGCTCCCATCACACTAACCCTTCTCCCTCAAAATGGTAAAACCCACGCCTCCCCGTTTCACAACCACCCTAACAGCATAACCACTTGCTTCTCCATTCTCCAGCCTTGCACGAAAAAGGCACAGAAAACCCACACAAATATAGGAACAAAAGGCTTTCCCCTTCCTAACACTTTCCATAACCCCCTTCCCCGTCTTTTTCCTCCCACTCTGGGATGTTTGGTCGGCTGGTTCCCACCGTTTTCAGCATCCAAGTTCATGTCCTCCCCTTTCCTCAAACGAGGTCTTTCCAATGCCCTGGGTCTATTTTCCTACCTTCTTCCTCTTGCATCCTGTCCTCAGTCATGTAGCCTCTCTCTTTTCCCTAACCCACCACCTTTCCCTCCACTTCCTCGTCTCTCCCTGGATGCCCATTTCTCCTTCACATTTCCCCTCCCCCGGGGTCCCAGTCCCCCCACCCTACAATCCCAAAACCTAGGTGTCAGCCCGCCCAGGTCTCCTCCGAAACCTAACTCCGCTCCGCGGGGGCCTGCCCCTCCCCCGGCCCCATCTGTATCCCCGCCCCCATCCCACCCCGACTCCCAATTCCCAGCGCAGCGCCACTCCGGCTCTTCCCCCGGCCCCACCTCCCCGGACCCCTCACACCCCAGCCTGGCCCTCTGCTCCTCCTCCCGGCGCCCCTCGGACCCCGGCGGGCCGCGCGCGTCCTCCCACTCGGACGGGGAGTCTCTCTCTCTCTCTCTCTCCCCCCCCACCCCGGTACCGTCCCCTCCAGCACACACACACACACACACACACACACACACACACATGCCCACAGACACGCACGCATTCACTTTACCTTCAGTTTGTTCCATTCTAACCCCCAGCCGTGTCCGCAGGGTCACAGGAGAGACACGGGGGCCCGGGGTGGCGCTGGGGTGCGGGCAGCCGCCCGGGCTGCGCGGCGAGGAGACGGGGCCGAGCTAGGCCGCATGAAATCCCCGGGCTAGATTTCCCCCGCGACGGACGCCGCTGCCATGGCGGCGAGCGCGGAAGCAGGCCACCGGCGGGCCGGCAGCGGGGAGGAGGGAGGCTCCCGGCGGCGGCGGCGGCGGGGTGGGCAGGGGCGGGGAGGGAGGACGGGGTCGCTCGCCGCGGAGCCGCTGCTACCGGAGAGGAGCCAGTGGCCAGCGGCCGGCGGTCGACGCGGGCAGCAGCAGGTTCCGCCGGGCTCCGGCCTCCGCGCGACTGTCGGCGGCCACACGAGTGGACAGTCCCCCGCGGCCTCCGCCTCGGCTCTGGCCGTCGCTGCCGCTGCTGCTGCCGCTGCCGCTGCCGCCGCCGCCGCCACCGACGCCGCGCACAAAGCCCCCCCCACACCCCGACTCTCGGGGCGCCGCCGCCGCCAAATCTGCAGCCGCTTATTGGCCGCCCCGGCGCCTGCCGGGAAATGCAGTCCCGGGTGCGGGGCGCGGGGCGCGGGCGGAGGAAGTGGCTGGAGCGGAGCGAGCGGGGAGGCGGGGCCAGAGCGAGAAGCAAAACTGGAAGCGGCCGGAGGGAGCCGGGCCTGACGTGCGGCCGCGGGCGGGGAAGGCGGGCGGGGGAGGAAGGCGAGGGGGCCGGAAGCGGAGGGGGGCGGCGGGGAGCAAAACCAAAACAAAACCGGGCGGTGGGGTCGGCCGCCGACGGGTCGGGCCGGTGAGGGAACACCGTGCTCGCGCGAGTTCCGAATCGAACCCCAGCGCGTCTGGGGAACACCCGACGGGACCCCGCAGAGCGGCACTGCCGTCCGACCCCCCCCCAGGTGTGAGGTTCACCTGCGGACGGGCGCCCCGTCCCGGCGGCCGGAAAGGGGACGACGGCGCGTGTGGCTCCTCGGCCGCCTTCCGTCCGACAGCTGTCAGAGCGGTGTCGCCCAGCCCGCCGGGGGCTGCGTGTGCACACCATGGCGGCGGCTTCCTCCTGGGTCCTCGGGGGCGAGTCTCTCGTTCTCCCCTGCGTGTTCAGCCAGAGGCTCCCCGCCTGCAAGCATTGGCAGGCCCGGCGGCCTCTCAACCTCTGGGGGTGGGTGAGCGGGGAGGGCGCGCCCACCTCCCTCGCAGGGGCCGAGCCCCCGCGCGCCCGCTTCCTGCTCGCACCGCAGGCCCGGAGGCTTGTGGGTAACGAGGAGGACGTAGGGGCCCTGTGCACCCCCAGACCCCGAGAGACACACAGGGCTTGGTGCCCATCACGTGCTTGGGCCTTCTGCTTGCTGCTAGGTCTTTCGTTTCAGGGATGTGAGTGCATTTGTACTTAGAGTCCATGCAAGAATGAGAGGAAAAAGGGAGTCAAAATTCTCTGTCACACACACACACACACACACACACACACACACACACACACACACACGGCTCCCCCATCCTAGGAAATTTCTGCTAAACCAATGGAAGGTCCTGGGAGGTGTCCCACAGTAAACTGGTTTGCTGGAGTGTGCAGATTTGGTAATATTTCCTGGGGACTGGGTGACAATGACTAGAACATTGCAGCACAGAGAATATATGAAGGAACCACAGGCAGCAATCAGATGAGAAAACCAAAACTCTGCTCACTGTTCTGAGATTCATAAAGCCATATCGCTACTGGATGCTAGCCTCTCCACAGACGTTACAGTGCTGGCTCTATTTGATACAGTTACAAGAAATTCCTGATAACTTTAACTACCACTTAAATAAGGGATTAAAGCATACCCACAGATCAATTATGTTAATGACTACTAATTATGTATTAGTTTTTAAAAAACAATCCTGTTAATAATATTAAGGATGATATTCAAGTTAAGCATTCCCATTACTATTAATCATTTCTTTAAAACTATGCTTTTGTAGTATGTATATTTTGTGTAGCAACAAAAGCTAAAGGAATCAATAAAGTAACATTTTTGTTTGTTTTAAATGCCTAGATGTCTTTTTGGAGCTCAGACCTCCAAAGGGGGGCTACCTGAGCTTAGTTTGATTCTATCTCTTGGGAAGAAAGGTTAATTTTTTTTTTTATTCCTGTGATCTTTTTCACCTCCACCCTTCTTTTCCACCTTCCAATATTTACCCCGTTTTGTTGATAAAATGTTGCCTTGACCAGACACCTGGATTTTCCCCTTGAGAAGAATTTGGTTGTCCCTAGGGACTTTATTTTGATTTTCTTCTAAAACTTTGCTGACAAAGTTTGAAATTAAGGTTATGTGAGGTAGATGCATAGTCTGTTTCTGCAAAACACTAGAAAACACATTATATTTCTATTTTATCTGAAACCATATTTAGGGACATGCCCATTAAAAATTATATTTTTAACATCTAACATCTGAAGGCCAGAACATGCTTTCTCTTCTCCAAAGAAAATGAGCAAACAGGTCATTAAGGCAGCAATCTAACAATCAGGGCCAGAGTTAGGGAGAAAAACATTTTGTTTCCTGTTTAAAGAATATAACAAAAAACTCCATATGTTATAAATCACTTACCCTGAAAGTAAAAACGTCACCAGTTCTAATAACAAGAGAAGGCAGACATTGCTTTGAATAAATAAATTTCAATAAGAAAGATTCTTAACCCTTCCCTTTGCAGAATAGGATTGCCAACATATGGCCATGGGAGAAAATCAAGCTCATCTTTCAAATAGTGATCTTAGAATCATGCATCTGGTTTATGAATACTTAATGATTTTCACTGTGCCTGGTTGTAAGTGAATACAATGCATGAATAAGAGTATTTCCTGATATAAAATGTCCCCCGGGGAACTACTAAGAGGAATATTTTTGTATCCTTTATGATCTTTTCCAGAAAAGTAGGGGTACATGGTTGTAATTTATGAAATTAAGGTGACAATTATGCCCTAGTCTTTTAGAGCTCATCATTTACTATCGGGAATTTTCAGGCTAAGAAAGCAAAGGTAAAAAAGACCAAAGCTTTGTAGAATTTGTTAATTCTAGTAAACATAGAATATGAAGTGAAACCATTATGTGGAAAGTTGGGCATCAGACATGCACTAAGTGCCCTCTAGTGGCCAAACGGAAAAGTTTTGCCTATTTAATTCCTTTAGTTACTAGCTGAAAATGCTTCGTGAATTAAAAGCAGTTCTGTATTTTAAAACAAAACAAATAGCTTTAAAAAAAAAACCCTGAGATTTAATATCCGTCATCTTTCATTCTTCAAATGCGCAGCCCAGATGACACATGTTAGCCAACATGTTAAGAGAAGTGTTCTCCGTGAGAAAGGTATTCCTTGCAGTCTTGTGTTAGTCAGCCACTAAAAATGTTTTCTTCCTTCTAGAGCCAGATAAAATCGGTGGGTAGAGATAACCAGGGAACGAGAACATTTCTAGATCTTTCACTTCCCCAAAATGGCTCAGTTGCTCATCCTAGAAACTAAAGTGTCCCCCCACACCCCCAACTTTCACAGCTACTATAGTATCTATTTTGAATATTATGAGATTTTTAAATAAAATACTGAGCAGAAAAAAACGGTGAAGAGAATCTTTATAATGCATCTTGAGATTACACAGCACTCCAGTCTTGGTCCAGAGGGATGTCTTCTTTACCATTCCGCCCTTTCTGCCACTCCCTCTTTCCACTGCTTCCTCCCCCCCGCAATTGCACAGTGGGAGGGGATGGGGGGAAAAGGAAGGAACAACCCAAAAGTGATGTAACTCGTGATTCCAAGATGGTTACCATGGCGACTATCGGGAGTATTGCGCTCTCCGGAGGCTAAGAACTACTTTAACCCAGCTTTCAAGCGAAGGCTTTCGGGCTGGTCCACGAACCTAGAGAGACTGGGGACAGATAGGAAAATGCAGGTCTTGCTTTCCTCCCACCCCTGAACACAGAGCCTCCTTACACTACACCCCACAGGGACGTCAGTCCGGTGGCCCGGAGGGAAAACTGGGCTTCGCAGCCTCCCTCCGGGAATGCCACCGCGGAGGGCACGCCCGCTCCGCAGAACCCGAGCGCCCATTGGTGGGCGATGTCGTCACTCCTGGTGACGTCAGCGCCAGGAAAGGGGAGGAGCCATAGAGACGGCCGCGGGCCCTTCTAGCTTGGGGTGCCGGGGCGGGGGCCTCGGGGAGGGGCTGGAGGACTGAGCGGCCGGCCGTTCGCGGGAGCCGGCCCAGGAGGTAGGGGTGGGCCGGCCAAGTCCGCGGGCAGGGACTCGGCTTCTGGTGTGTCCCCCACCGGCGCCCAGTGTCCCCGACCGCTTCCAGGTGCCCAGCGCGCTCTCCGCGCCCCCTGGCCCGCCCAACAGCCTCGGAGCTCAGTCTCCGCGCTCCCTCTTTCGTGCTTCACTTCCTCCCTTCTCTTCGGTACCCCGCGTCCTGCTTCTCGTCTGCCTCCCATAAACCCGGGTCGCCGGCCAGGCTGGTGCCTGCACCACGCCCGCACCAAATACACTCCAGAAGAAACACTGCAGACCCCGCGGCAGCAGACACAGCCCGTCCACACCACGCGCGCCAGAGCCACCGGCCGAGGGAGGCGAGATCCCCCAAATCCCCCAGAGCCGGAAGACGAGGGATCCGGCGGCTGCGGCTCCGGGTGCGGGCGTGGGCGGGGCGTGGGCGCGGGCGGGGCTCCCGCCACCTGGGAAGTGGTTGCCCGCAGCGCTGAGCCCGGTTGCCCTGGGCCCCCCGGATGGGGTCTGGGCTCCCTCCAGCAGGAGGATGCCCGTGCTTAGTCTGGGTTAGGGTGTTTCAAAGTATGATTTGAACCCTTGAGCAAAAATGTCTGTCCTGTGGTTGAGGTTTCCGTCCACGAAAGACCCTGGTACTTTCCCCCCAGCTGCAGAAAAGCAGAGCTGATGCTAAGACAGATACTAAGGCTCCTTGCTGCCTGCCCTTGGCTGAAAAGCGCCACAGGAAGGAGGAAGGTGCTCTGTGAAGCGTTTTTTCAAGGTAGAAAGCTCTGCGGAGAATCACTAGCGCAGGAAACCGGTTTACCTCCACTTGAACTATTAGGTACCATGTACATCTGCACTGCTACTTAAAGGAATGCTTTCAATCTTTTTTTTTTTTTTAATTCTTTTTATTTATTTAATATATATTTTTATTGATTTCAGAAAGGAAGGGAGAGGGGGAGAGGGGCTGCCTCTGCACGCCCCCCCACCCCCACCCCCACTAGGGATTGAGCCTACACGGGGCATGTGCTCTGACTGGGAACCTCCCGGTTCATAGGTTTGCTCAACCCCTGAGCCATTGGTGGTGGGAAGGGCAATAATCTATACTAATAAAAGGGTAATATACTAATTAGACCAGTAAACCTTCCAGATGTCCTTCCAACTTCAGGACAAAGCCATGGTGGCAGGCCAAGGCAGAGGTAGTTAGGGGCGATCAGCAGGCTGGGGCAGTGTGTGTGTGTGTGTGTGTGTGTGTGTGTGTGTGTGTGTGTGTGTGTGATCAAGTTGGGGGGCAGTTAAGGGCAAGCAGGCTGGTGTGGGGGGCGGGGGCAGCTGGGGGCAATCAGGCTGGCAAGGAGGGGGCACTTGGGGGCAAGCAGGCCAGTTACAGAGTGGTTAGTGGCAATCAAGCAGGCAGGCAGGTGAGCAGTTAGGAGCCAGCAATTCCGGATTATGAGAGGGATGTCTGACTGCCACAGGGATCTGACCTAAACAGCTAGTTGGACATCCCCCAAGGGGTCACAAATTGGAGAGGGTGCAGGCTGGGTTGAGGATCACCCCCCACCATGCACAAATTTCATGCACCAGGCCACTAGTTTGTTTTATATTTAAAAATATTGGCTCAGTGGATAGAGTGTCAGCCTGTGGACTGAAGTGTCCTTGGTTTGATTCCAGCCAAGGGCATGTGCCTGGGTTGTGGGCTCAGTCCCCGGTGGGGGGCATGCAGGAGGCAGCAAATCGCTGATTCTCTCTCATCATTGATGTTCCTGTCTCTCCTTCTCCCTTACTCTCTGAAATCAATACAGAAACATTTTTTTTTTTTAAAGAAAAATATGTTTTTACTGAGAGAGAGAGAGAAAGAAACATTGATGTGAGGTTGCCTCCCCCATGCCTGGACCCCTGACCAGGAATCCATCCGTGACTTTTCTGTGTACAGGAGGACTGCTCAACCAGCTGACCCACACTGGCCAGGGCAGTACTTTACACCTTGAATAGAATATGCAAATATTTTACCCTTGTAGTAGTTAAAAACACTTAAATCCTGATGCCTTTACAATTGATGTTTTTTCAAATACTGAATTGTTTACTTACTCCTTCTGCCTAGGTCCTTATGTTGACTAGTTGAAACAAATATAAATATGGCTGTCTACTGTTATAATAAAGTCTTAGTTATTGCCCGAACAAGGTAAGTCTTGGAATTTCTCTCCTGTCTCCAATATTAATGTGAACTTCATTCTTCTAGATGGAAAAGTATATGCAAAAGGATAGGCTTAGTACACAGTTAAAGACTTGTTGTTTTTAACTGTGTTGGTTTTTAGGAAGCTGGCGTTTTAATGTATTTAAACTTATCCCAAATTTTCAATATGCTTTAGAACTCAGCCGAGTCATTTTGTAGCTGTGTAGTACAGGTAAGATAGATGATGTAATGGTTTTAGAATGTCATTGATGAATATTACATGAGGCCTTTACATATGAAAAGGAGTCAAATGATTGGCAAATAAGCCAGTCCTAGGGCCTATACCTGCCCCAACAAGATCTGTTATCACTTATTTATTACGAAGAATATTCACCAAGAACTTACTGTGTGCTGGATACATTGGACATATTCCCTTTTAGCCATTCAGAAAGTGTTAAATCTTGGCATGCTTCAAAAACAAAGAATGGAAAAAGCCATCTCTTTGCCAAAAGAAGTCTCTTTGCCAGGAATTTTCTTTGCCTAGATCATCTTATTTTAATTTTTAAACAGTCTGATGTGCTAGTCTAACTGAAGACTGTACGCTATGGCAAAAGTAGAATGTAGAGATCCCTGACTGACGTGCCCAATTCTAGTTCTTTTTCTTTCTTTTCTTTTCTTTTTTTTTTTTTTTAATACTTTATTGATTTTTTTTACAGAGAGAAAGAGAGATGGATAGAGTGTTAGAAACATCGATGAAAAAGAAACATCGATCAGCTGCCTCCTGCACCCTACTAGGGTTGTGCCTGCAACCAAGAAACATGCCCTTGACTAGAATCGAACCTGGGACCTTTCAGTCCACAGGCTGATTTTCTATCCACTGAGCCAAACCATTTAGAGCCCCAATTCTAGTTCTTATTACTAAGGTTCTTCAGGAATCTTTGGTGAAGGCCATTTGGGTTGTAAATGTCTCTCACTTGAGGGAATCTATGGGCAGAACATAGACAAGGCAATCTTATGTGATTGGTTAACCCCCAAAAGGACCTTGAACTGCTTTGTTCAAATAACATTCCTATTGTCAGTAGAGTAGATGACAGCATAAGTCTTCCACCTGTTTTCTGGTAGTAGAAAGAGAAAGAACTTTCAAACATAACCCCTAGTGGGAAAATATTTGCTATTAGATTTTTAAATAAATAGGTTTTCTAACTTCTATAGCAATTATTCTTGGAATGAACTTACTAATATTTCTTGTAGAGTATATTATTCTACCATAAAAGTTACTGTTCTTCAACTGAGATAAAAAGCTATATTTTATTCACTAATGGAAATACATCATTTGCTTAAACATACAGGCTTTAAAACTACTTATTTTGACCAGATAGAGTATCTATTTCTTTAACTTTAAATTTGTAATCTTTTGTGCTCAACTCAGAGGATGTTGCTCTTTATTCCAGATTCCCTAGCCATTTTGTACATCCCACCTGCTCTTCTTATTTCCCATCACTTGCATTTCTTCACTTGCCAGATTCCCATTTAAATAAAACATTTGTGAAGAACTATGGAAGCAGGAAGTACTCCTATCCTAGTCAGTCAGACAATAAAGGACATCACTTACGAACTAGGATAACACAAAAGTTACACACATCAACTTGCTGGCCACAAAAGGTCCCTGATGGACCTCAGCTGGAGCAAACCCCCCCAAAACCACAGGAGACAAGCTCTCAGCCCACAAAAGAAACTGGTATGGAGACGAAGGAAGAAAAGCAATCTTATAGACAAATAATTATGGGTGAACTTAAACATTATTACAATGGATTCTATTTTCTTTGGCTTGACACCAAAGTTGCTGTCAAAATGCTTTGGAAGCTGTTGCGTGGACATGCGCTGACTAGACGAGACAGACGAAAGGTAGGCAAGAATCATATTTAAAAAAAAGAAAATGTAAAGTTAAAATGAACTATTTAGGAACCAAGTTTTAAACTCAACTTAAAATTCATTAAAAAAAAAAAATCCCAAAGTAGGGATGGTAACTGATGGTAAAGATTGGGAATATCTGAGTTTCTTTCTTGTCTGCTACTGACTTACTGTACAACTGTAGGCAAAATTTTTAAATTTGTATATATTTGCCTATAGAATGGTTATAATTATGTTTTCTAATCTCTTCAAGGAGTTGAGAGGCTGCAGGTTTGATCTGTGCACCTGAAATACAAACTGTTATTAATATATTAAGTATATGCATTAAAAAACAATTTCAACAGATACTATGTTATTAAAGTCCAGACTCCTAAATCAGATGAAAGCTATAAGATACCAATAATATATTTTGATTGTTACAGATTTCCTTGAGGAATATCCCATAAATGTTACTTCAGAGCTATGATAAAGAGGAAAATCCCACCTTCCCATTTTATAAACAGCTGCAGACTTTCAGAGCCAAAGCAGCCTTTTTAGTTTCAGGGGTTTCTGTTCTGTTTTTTTGTTTTTGTTTTTGGCACATTCTAAAATAATGAATATTGCATATGCATTTAATTCTTTAGCTATTGAGGACTTGTGTTGATTTCTTCCGCTTGGTTCCATTTATGGTGTTCATAATTGTACCCTTCATGGAATTCTTAATACCAGTGTTTCTGAAATTCTTCCCAGAGATGTTGCCATCAACTTTTGAAAGTGAATCCAAAAAGGTACGTAGGAATTTTTAACTTTAAAAAAAAATCAATAGGCTTGCCTTAGTGTTTTTTCTTTCTTGGATCATGCTGTATCTAAAAACTCTTGCCAAATCCAAGGTCATCTAAGATTTTCTCCTAGGTGTTTTACAGTTTTGAGTCTATGATCCATGTTGAGTTAATTTACTTCATTTTTGTTTTTTTTCCTGAGGAAAGTTGTATAACACCTTTACTGCTTTGGGGTGGAGCAGCCACTTCCTCTGCACCATCACAGGTTTCTGGCTATGCAGGATGGTCTGCCCGGCGGGTGGCCACCTTGCCAGATCTGCAGATCTAGGCAGTACATGCTCCTGCATTGTGTACCAGATGCTGCTTGGCACTGGGTGCTCTTGTTGATGGTGGTCCACAGGTAGGTAGCCGGCTTTTGCTGGCCGCATCTCCGCCTCAGAATGACCACCACACCTTTACCATGGGCCTGCTGGCTCTACATCCACCGTCTTACTGTGAATCAGCCCGTTGTTGTGGAAGGAGTTGTGGGCCTTCAGACTGTTGGGTTTCCAGCTGTCTGTCTGCTTGTTCGACTTGATCAGGAAGCTGGAGCAGTTCCCTGCACCATCCATTGCAGGTGGGCAGACCTTGTGGCAGCTCATCTTGGCCAAAGACAGAGGTGTAACTTCAGTGTCAAGAGTCTTTTCTTTTCTTTTTTTTTTTTTTTTTTTTTTTTTTTTTTTACGTGTGCTACTCTTCTCCATTGAACTTTAATTTGTTTTTAACTGTTGAAAAATATAGCAGCCCTAGTCAGTTTGACTCAGTGATTAAAGTATTCACCTGTGGACTGAAGGAGCATGGGTTCAATTCTGGTCAAGGGCACTTACCTTGGTTGCTGGCTTGATTCTGGCCTGGTCTGGGCATGTGCAGGAGGCAACCAACTTATGTGAGATTTCCTACCTTCTACTCTCTACAAATCAGTGGAAAAATATCCTCAGATGAGAATTAACAAACAAGCAAACAGTCATAAAGCAAACATAAACCAACTGTTATTTCAGTGACTGGTTGAATGGCAGGCATGATTGATTCAGTTGAACAGACCCTTCAGTGCTTTTGAATAGTCTCCGAGAAGAGGGTGTCCTCATTTTATGGTCACTGGGAAGGCGATGAGCTAGAAAACAGAGGCAGCTCCTTCGTTCTCTTTATTCTTTGCCACTTTACTAGACAGTGGTATGAAGATCTGAACACAGTACTATGAGGGGACAAACAGGACAACTTTTAAACCAGACTAGGAAATGTTTGACAGAAGAGGTACCTGTGGGACCCAATGTTGGAAAAGTGTTCTGGATAGGAAGAATAGCACTTGAAATGGCTTAAAGGTGTACAAGTTTGACATAGTGCAGACCACTGATTGGTTGTTTATGGTTGGAATACAAGAGGATCAATGGTAGACGAGACAAGAGTTTTATGTTGGATCAGGTTGGACAGCATCTACCACCCTATGAAATTCAGACTTTACCTTAGGTGGTTAGTGATGGAAGATAAATTTCGGCAGGTGGTGGGTAACATGATTAGGTCTGTGTTTTAGAAAAATAATTTTGCTGGCAGAAAGGATTGAAGAGCCAAGGGGGAGGGTGGTCAGGGGAAGGGAATCAGCTAGAATGCTCTTGTTATAGTAAGAGAGAGGACCAAGCCTAAATTATGAACATGGCATTAGAAATAAAAACTTGAAGGTAGATTTGATGGACAATGAAAGCATAGAATCAAATTGCAATATATTACTGCTTGGCAGTGATTTAATTTACTTATATTAAAAGTAATTAGGATCTATTAATAGAATTAATACCATTGGTTTCTAAGGAAAGTGTTAGTGAATGTGGGAAGATAGGGAGGTGGGGGAGAGATAGAAGTGATTTACCTAAATATTCCTCTTATCTCAACACTATTTATTCCTGAACATACATTAATACACATCATAGACACAGTCCTAGAAAATTATTTCTTGTTTTTCTTTGTTCCAAGCAAACAAGAGTGTTAGCTTTCTATTTATATCGGAGCACAGTACCATGCATTTCTCTTTCATAGTACTTCTCAGTTATACTTTTACATCCATTTGTGGAGTTACTAGTTTATCTTTAGTCACTGTTTGTCTCTCCCTTTAGACTAGAAGTTCCATAACTGATTTTGCTCATTTTTTTCTCTAGCACATAGTAGATGCTCAATAAGTGGGCAGATGGATATGCACTTAAAAATATTTTTTATTGATTTCAAAGAGGAAGAGAGAGAGAGAGAAAGATAGAAACATCAATGATGAAAGAGAATCATTGATTGGCTACTTTCTGCACACCCCACACTGGGGATTGAGCTCACAACCCGGGCATGTGACCTGACCAGGAATTGAATCATGATCTCCTTGTTCATAGATCAATTCTCTTTATGGATGTGTATATGGATATGGATACAATTGAGTGTAATGGATGTCTAAAAATGGTATTGACTAATGGTAATGACTAATCAAGGTATTTCTATTGTGTGAGTTTTTGGCTGAGTCCCTTAAGATCTTTCTAAAAAACAAAGATTGCCATAATTGGGTGATCATTAGAATCTCTTGGGCAACTAAAAAAAAATATGTATATATAAGATATATTTTCCTGCTCAGTACTGCCCTGAATCCTGACCATGGTTATTTTGAAAATGCCACTACATTGCATTTCTTTTAAAAAATATTTTTATTGATTTCAGAGAGGAAGGGAGAGATAGAAACATCAATGGTGAGAGAGAATCATTAATTGGCTGCCTTCTGCATGCCCCATACTGAGACTGAGCCTGCAACCCAGGCAAGTGCCCTGACTGGGAATTAAATCATAGCCTCCTGTGTCATAGGTCAGCATTCAACCACTGAGCCATGCTGGCTGGGCCACACTGCATTTCTGATGATGAACAAGGATTTAGAAATAATGGTCAATATAGTATCTTAAGAGTGTACACTCATTTCTCTTCCGTATAGTGCTTGGTTCATATCTATTATAGCACTTAACCCATAAATTGTGTTTGTTTTACATTACTTAAACTATAAGCTACTTTAGGGTAGAGTTAATTATTTAGTTTTTTCTGTTTATGGCTCAAGCAAACTCCAGGGCCATTTAGACCAGTGGTTTGTTCAACTAGAAGTCTAGATTGTTTACACCAGATTAAGAAACAGTATCTTATTTATTTATGTGTTTATTTTATTATTATCCTATACTAGAGACCCAGTGCATGAAATTCATGCTTGGGGACAGGGAGGGGTGTGTGTCTATCAGCCCAGCCTGTACCGTTTCTAATCTGGGACCTCTTGGGGATGTCTGACTGCCCGTTTAGGCCTGATCTCACAATCCAAGACTGCTGGCTCCCAACCACTTGCCTGCCTTATTGACCCTAACCACTTCTGCCTGCCAACCTGATCATCGCCTAACCCTTCACCTGCCAGCCTGATCAATGTGTAACTGCTCCCCTGACAGCCCAGTAACTCCTAACTGCCCTCCCTTGCCAGCCTGGTTGCCACTAACTGCCCTCCCCTGCTGGCCTGGTCCCCCCCAACTGCCCTCCCCTGCAGGCCTAGTCTCTCCCAACTGCCTTCCCTTGCTGGCCATCTTGTGGCGGCCATCTTGTGTTCACGTGGGGGCAGCCACCTTTGACCACATAGGGGTGGCCATCTTGTGCATTGGAGTGATGGTCAATTTGCATATTACCTCTTTATTACCCTATCTAATAAAAGAGTAATATGTAAACTGACCATCACTCCAACATTGCAGGGGAGGACAGTTAGGGAGGACTCAGTTCTGCAGAGGAGGGCAGTTGTGGGGGACTAGGCCTGCAGGGGAGGGCAGTTGTGGGGACCAGGCCTGCAGGGGAGGGCAGTTGTGGGGAACCAGGCCTGTAGGGGAGGGCATTTAAGGGGGGGGCAGGCTGGCAAGGGAGGGTAGTTAGAGGCAATTGGACCAGCAGGGGAGAGGTTAGGCGTTGATCAGGCTGGCATGGGAGTGGTTAGAGGATGATCAGGCTGGGAATGATCAGAAGCTGTTAGGGGCAGTCGGTCAGGCAGGCAGGTGAGTGGTTAAGAGCCAGCATTATTGGATTGTGAGAGGGCAGTTGGATACCCCTTGACGGGTCCCAGATTTGAGAGGGTGCAGGCTGGGCTGAGGGACATCCCTCTCCCCCATGCATGAATTTTGTGCATCAGGCCTCTAGTTTAAAAAAAAAAAAAAAATATATATATATATATATATATAATTTATTTATTTATTTTTATTTTTTTAATCAATCTTAATGTTCATATTATTACAAAAGTTCCTCCTTTTTCCCCCCTCCACCAGGTTCCCACCCCATCCTCTGCCCTTTCCACACACGCCCATTGTCCTCATCCACAGGTGCACAGTTTATGTTCAGTCTCTTCCCACATCCACCACTCCTCTTTTCCCCGAGAATTGTCAGTCCAATCTAGTTTTAAATATATTTTTATTACTTTCAGAGGTGAAGGGAGAGAGGGATAGAAACATCAATGATGAAAGAGAAACATTGGTTGGATGCTTCCCGAATGCCCCTTCTGGGGATCAAGCCCACAACCCCAGCATGTGTCCTTGACCAGAATTGAACCCAGGACTCTTCAGGTCGAGGCTCTATCTACTGAGCCAAACCAGCTAAAGCAAGAAATAGTATCTCATTTATAAGTAACTCAGACAATGCAAGTGTCTGTCAGTAGACAAGTGGATTAAAAAGCTGTAGTACTGGTGCATACATATAATGGACTATTACTCTGCCTTAAAAAAGAATGCCATGTTACTATTTGTGACAGCATGGGTGGACCTTGAGGGTATTAAGCTAAGTGAAATAAGTCAGGCAGAGAATGACAAATACCATACGATTTCACTTACATTTAAATCTAAAGAGCAAAATAAATGATTAAGCCAAACAGAAACAGATCCATAGATGCGGAGAACAGAATGCTGATTGCCAGAGGGGAGAGAGGTTGGGGATTGTGTGAAAAAGGTGAAAGGAGTATTACTAATGGGTTGTTACAGAATAATCATGGGATGAAAGTATAGCATAGGGAATATAATTAATAATATTGTAATAACTATTTTGGTGTGAGGTGGGTGTTTGAAATATCGGGAAGATTGTGTAACATATATAATTGTCTATATGTATACTATACTGTACATATGAAATTAATACAAAATAGTGTTGACAATTTACTGTAGTTTAAAAATAAGATGTAAAAAAGGAAATAGTATCTCATTCTAAATAATGACAATGTCTACAATTGAGGGGACATTTTGGATCTATCAAATATTTATGATCATTGTATTAGCAATAAATAAAAGGTAAAATTAAGGAGTTAAGTTGCAAACAGAGATTACTTTTTATTTGCTGTGGTTCTCACAGAAAACATTCAATTAGGTTTGAGAATAATATTGATACATGAAATAGGGATGAACAAGAACAAGGTAACAGTTCTTTTTCTTGCATCTTTATTTACCAAGTTGTAATCATGAAGGACTGATTAAGTTTTCATCTTCTATTATTAAGGAAGAAAAACAGAGAAAGAAAATGGCTGCAAAGTTGCAACTAGCAAGATTTCTTCAAGAAACAATTTCAGAAATGCCAAAGAGGAACAGGAGCAAGCTGGGAGAGGCATCTATGCAGCAGTTCTCATCCTATGTCAAAAAGGTGTCAGTCTTTGATAATAATACCAAACAACTTCTGGACTGGGAATTTTATGAAATATGCATGTTATCATGGATCTTCCAAATTGTTTACAATCTTTGAATTTGCAAATCTAAGTCATATAGATATAAAATTGCAAATGTTTATAGTTTTGTGTTTTTTTGTTTGTTTGTTTTTTCAGAAATGTCTATCTTAAAGCAGCCAATGTGCTGAAGACCATGATAGCTTCTTGGAAAGAACAGAATTAGTCAAATGTTTGAACTATTCCTGAGTTTTCAGTTGATTTAGGCTGACTTCGATTTCTTTACTTCTCTTTGTACCACAGGGCCCATTACTAGACCTAAGATAGAATCTATAAATGCTTTGGTGTGTCTTTCAAATTGTCTACTGGGAAAGTTAAATTAAGTAGGAAACATATTTTACTTGTTTAATTGAGCCTGTTTGTCCCACTGCCTAGGTCCAAATAGGCCACAGGCCCAGCACAAAGGAGATAGTTAGCTTTTCCAAACTATTTGAAGATGAGCTAACCCTGAAGGACTTAAATCGATCACAGCTGATTGCCCTTTGCAAACTGCTAGAAGTGCAGTATTTTGGAACCAACAATTTGCTCCGCTTTCAGCTTCTGATGAAACTGAAGTCTATAAAGGCAGATGATGAAGTAAGAGCTTAAATCTCTCTCTAGGGAATTAGCAAGACTTTGGGAGATATCTTAGGATGGCTTTGTGATAAAGTGCAGTATCCTCTGTTAGGTCTGCTCATGGACCGGGTTCTAGGAAAAGGAGTGGTTTTAATAACCATTACCATGACAACCTGAACCTTGATTATTCATTTTAGGAGTTACTATATTCTGACCCATTTTCTTAAGAAGGCCATTATAAGCAATTAGTAATTTGGAAGTCTTAGCTGGGACTAATCTAAAGCAGTTAGGACCCACTAGGAAGGAAAGGCAGCCCAGTAGATTCCTGAGTCTTCCGCTAAGGACAGGACTCCACTCCCCACACCTCTGCTCCCTCCCCGCAGAGCTGGTGCCAAAGTAAATATTCTGCTGGGTGAGCTGGCTTGGTAAGAAGGGGTGGCAAGACAGGGAGGGAAAGCAGGGCCTAGACATCTGTGAAAGAAAGGCACAATTTGGACTATAACTGCTAATTAGACTCCTTTAAAAAAAAAAAAAAAAAAAGGAAAGAATCTTCCTTGAATCTGTATCAGCTGCTTTAAAGAATTCTGCCCTAGCTTGTTTGGCTCAGTGGATAGAGCATCGTCCTGTGGACTGAAGAGTTCCGGGTTCAATTCCAGTCAAGAGCACATGCCTGGGTTGCGGGCTCAACCCTCAGTAGGGAGCCTGCAGGAGGCAGCCAATCAGTGATTCTCATAATTGATGTTTTTATCTCCCTCTTCCTCTCCCTTCCTCTCTTGAAATTAAGAGATCTCACCGGCCCCATTTAGATTTCAGTTGTTTTCAGAACTTCAGAATAAACAATACTGGTCTCAGGAGTATCATAGTTTTGTGTCACACCAAGCAGAAACTGTGCTATTTACTGAGGGAGTTTTGTGGACTAGAGAGTTAAGGCCATTCCTGGGGTTTTGGTGGGGGACAGTGGGGGAAAGAATACCACTGGGACAGGCAACGGATGGTACATGGAAAGCTTTTCAAGTGAAATATTTTCTAAATGAAACCGAAAGCTGCCATGAAGGGGAAGAATAGAGGCATCACAAGTAAGCAAATGCAAATCAAGGGAGAAAATAATTACTTCGGTGACAGAGTGTTGAGAAGTTATGTAAATATCTCTGATATTATTAACTAGAGGCCCGGTACATGAATTTGTGCACAGGTGGGGTCTGACCAGCCCTGCCCCTGATCCGGATGGGGTGTTGGGGACAAGGCCAGCTGGGGGGAGGTTGGCCAGCCAGCCCCACCCCTGGCCAAACTCCCAGTTGAGGGGACAATTTGCATATTAGGCTTTTATAGAATACCCTTTGGCAGGATGCCCTTCATCTCAACTGCCACACCTTCCTAAGTCACCTTGTTTTTATAGGTGGCTGGCCTTTGCAGCAGTCAGTATGGGCACTAAGTGTTGGAAGCATCAGATCCTGTGTTTCCCCTGACTTGTTGTAGTTAGGTGAAATTGGAACCAAAAGATCCAGCACCATTCTTTACATTTCTTTCAGGCAATTGCCAATGAAGGGGTGAGTGCTTTGAGTGTGCCAGAACTACAAGCTGCCTGTAGGGCCCGAGGGATGAGATCACTGGGTCTCACTGAGGAACAACTGACCCAACAGCTCACAGAGGCAAGTAGCAGCTTTCCTGGGCCTTTTTACTGGCTTTCTTCCCTACACTTTGAAGACTTATTTTGTGATTGCTACGTTGCATGTGAACCATTTTACCTAATTTGCTTTATTTAATTGAGCGGTGGAGATACCAAAGCAGCTAGATTTTTGGACTGAGACGAAGTTCGGTATTAGTTTTCCATGAATGCATAACAAATAATCACATTTACTGGCTTAAAACAACGCCCATTTATTTGCTCCTGGTCCTGTAGGTCAGAGGTGCAGGCTGCATTCCTTTCTGGAGGCTGTGGGGAGACCCCATTTCCAAGCTCATTCCACTTGTTGGCTGAATTTAGTTCTGAATTTAGCTGCAGGACCGAGGTGCTTGTTTCCTCACTGGCTGTCAGCCCTGGATTACTCAGTCCTGAAGGCCACCAGCATTCTTTAACCCCTAGGTCGCCTCCATCTGCAAAGAACCTCTTATATGCCAATCTCCCACATGCTTTAAATCACAGAGTTCCTTTGTTTTTTTTTAATCTCTAGTTCCAGATTTAAAGGTCTAACGTGATTAGGTGAGGCCTACCGGATAATCTTTGCATTTTAAGGTTAATGGACTTGGGACCTTAATTATATCTGCAAAATCCCTTCATAGCAGCACCAAATTAGTATTTGAATGAATAACTGGGGGAAGCTGTGGGTGCATGAGGGACTGGGAATCTCGGGGCCACCTTAGAATTCTGCCTACTCCAGGTCTTGATAAAGGCCTGCCATGTGTGTGACTCTGTCTGGAGGTGTAGCCTTGCCTGCGGCTCACCTGGACTGCTGTCCTGGTTAGTGCCCCGAATCAATGTAAACTGTTAGCTTTGGTATCCAATGTTTAATGTTGTCCCTCAGATACCGTATATGTAAACTAAATGTAATGCCTTTTTTTTTTTTTTCCTTCAAGTTACAAGAGAAAGTGTTTTTAGAAAGTTACAGAGGAAGTAGAAGTGAGCCAGCTGGGCTGGGTAAGCTCAGGAAACAAGTTACAGAGGCAGAAGGGCCCTTGGAGCTTAGGGGAGAGAAAGGCAAAGGTTACACACCTGGGGGGTCGAGGGGAAGAGAAAGGTGTGGGTGTGCTCCTGAGGGGGAGAGTGCACCTAAATGTAATGCCTTAAAATAAAGGGGTAACTCCTATTAAGGATCCTCATTCCTATAACTGTAAAAGGTGCTATAAAGTGTACACAAGTTATTTTGGGACAGGAGCCATTGCTGTGGCTTTGAAACCATGTCAGGTACTTTTTTCCTCTTATATGTTGGACCTGCTCTGGTTGGCAGATGGACATATTGTAGACAGTTAGTAAAAGAAATTATTTCTTGAACAGAGTGCAGTAAGTGGGTTCAACTCTCTTAATGAGTTACTTTCTTGCAGGGGTGTGTCATTTTACATTCCCACTATAAGGGAGTGAAGATACTAATCCAGCCATGTAATATGCAGAGCTATGAATTATTTAAAAATCCTGTGTCAGAATATGGGCATACATTTCCTAGGAAGGAAAATGAAAGGAGTCAAAATAAAACATCTTAACTTTATAAGATAAAACTATGAGATTCCACATCCACTCTGGCAAAGACCAGACTTTGAAAACATACCATGTAGGTGAGGCTGTGTGAAGAGGGACACTCATGTATTGTTGGTAAAAATGTCCATGGGGGTTTGGCATTATCTTTCAAATCCTAAAAATGCATTTACTTTGACCTAGCAATTTCACTTCTTGCACATGTGCAAAATGACATATTAAAAGATGATCCAGCCGAGACCGGTTTGGCTCAATGGATAGAGCGTCGGCTTGGGGACTGAAGGGTCCCAGGTTTGATTCCAGTCAAGGGCATGTACCTTGGTTGCCGGATATCTCCAGTAGGGAGTGTGCAAGAGGCAGCTGATCGATGACTCTTTCATCGATGTTTCTAACTATCTCTCTCCCTTCCTCTCTGTATAAAATCAATAAAATATATTAAAAAAAAAAAAAGATGATCCATTGCAGCACTGTCTGTAACAGCAAAAGATTAGAAACTGCCTAAGATTCATTATTAGGAGTATAATCAAATAAACCATGGCATTTTCATACAGTGGAATCCTTTACAGATGTTTAAAAAGGAGGCAGCTCTATATCTCCTTATATGAATCAATCTGCGGGATACAATATTTCAGTTAAAAAAAAAAAAGCAAGGACAAAAGTGTGTATCTCACCCTTTGTGTAAAGATAAAAAATATATATTTGTATGGACATAGGATATCTCTGGAAGGTTGTACTAGGACTTGGCACCAGTATTCGGAATTGCTTTAAGGGAGGGAAATAGGATAGCAAGAGGGGTAAAAGGCGGGCTTATTTTAATTGATTTCATTTGATCTTTTTAATTTTGTCTTGTGCATATATTATTGATCTAAAAAATATATGTATTTTAAAGCGTGGCCAATCTGGTACTTGAAAACTTACATCTCATTCACATTTTAATGTTCATTTCTTTGGTTGTTAATGAGATTGACTTATTTTTTAACATCTACTTTGTGCCCAAGAGAAGATACTAGCTCCTTTGATCCGAAGTTGGTTTAATATTATAAAAAGTTCTTTCTCTGACTCTGAGAGGATCTCACCGGAGGGGAGTGGGTTGCTGTCCAACTACTGGTGCCAAAGCCAGAAGAGGGACGTTCTTACTCTCATTCTGCTGTGAATTATCAGCATGAGCCTGGGGAAGCTGTAGAGCCAGGGAAGCAGTAGATGATCCTGGGTCCCACCCAGGTCTCCCATTCTGTGATTTTCGTGTTTCATCCCCCAGTGGCAGGACCTCCACCTGAAGGAGAACGTCCCCCCTTCTCTTTTGCTCATGTCAAGAACCTTCTATCTGATAGATGTGAAGCCAAAGCCAATTGAGATCCCACCAAGTGGAGAGGTGAGTAACGGCTCAGAGGCCTCTCCCCGAATCTCTTATTTCCTATTGTAGTTAGAGAAGGCATTTCTTTTGGAATTTTGGCCAACTGGCCTTAAAATCCTTTTTAAATTCCTAGGAAATATTAAAATCACTGAAACTATCTCCTGCTGTAGGGATGTTACTGCCTTTGACCCCAGCTTGATTTGGTTTTACTAATAGGTGTCCAGATCATTCCTTCTCATTAACTATTTAGTCTTCAGACTGTTTTCATCACTTTCTCCTTTGAGACTGAATGGTTCTTGTTCTATTACATCTATTTCATTTGTCCAGATTCCTATTAATTTTTAAGCAGCGAATGGCCAATGTAGAATCTAAACTTTTGGTCTTTCTACAACTTATTGTCCTAATCTTTGTTGTTGTTGCCTTTAACTCAGTAGCCTTTTTTTTTTTTTTTTTCCTCCTGGTATTTTACTGAGAACACAGGACTGGCCCAGTCACTAGAGCATCTTGCTCTGGGTCCACCAGAAAGGGCCTTGCACTGTTCTACTTTGTGGCTTCTTGTCTAATCAGAACCTACATGAGTGAGAAAGGAAAGGACCTATAGAGCATGCTGCACATGTGGTTTAGTAGATTAGATGGAATATTCTGGAGTGAGGACCAACCATTTTAAATCTTTGTTATGCTGTTGACTCTTTGGACAAGCCAAGGAAAATGATATGCAGTCAAGCATGAAAAATACACTTCAGGAGACCCCATCTTGCTTTCCCTTTGCAGAGTTCCAGAGACTAATCTGGATGTGGGCTTTGTCCAGGAAGGATTCTAGGGGAACTAGGTAGGAGCAGTTTAACCTTGTTAAAAAAAAAAAAAAAAAAAAAAAGGCAGGCAGGCTATTGGGTTTTTCTTCTTACTCTATCTTTGGTCTTCAAGGCAGATCAAAGTTATCTGTCATTCATTGACTGCTGGCAGGAGCAAGGAAATCTTGGAATAGCACAATGTCTCAGAGCTAAATCTGAGTTCTCAGACTTATAGTAGATGGGCAGAAACTCTTTATCCAGATGTTGTTTTCTGGAATGATTGAAGAAGACCTAGGGATTAAGGACAAAATGACAAGCTCGTAGGCATTTTATTGCTTTGCTTTTTAAAAAAGTCAAATTTTAAAACTTCTGTTCTCCATATGTACAAAATGAAAACAAATAGCATGCTAGGCTCTATAAAAATTTAGACTTCAAATATTCTATAATTTTGGATATATGTAGCCCCTTTCCCTCCAAAGTACACAAAGAAATTACTTATTCCCAAAGAGCAGTGATATATTTTTCAAATTTAATTAATATAATTCTTAAAGACAAATTAGTTAGCTATTCTGGAATGCCACTCTCTCCCTTGTTTTATAGGAATTTCTATTAAGTAGCACCTACCATTTAAGTAATTTTTATCATTAGAAGCCAGCAATGATAAATGTCAATTTTAACCATGCCATTAGAAATAGATAAGTAATTGAGAAATGGCACATTTTGTGAGACTAGAATACCACCAGAATTGGCAAACCAGTAGCTTGTCAATGATTGAAGATTTTAAATACTAGAATTTAATTAGAATGCAACTTGTGTTCAAAACTGCAAGATAAATAATACTAAGTTGCTATTTCAGGGACATACTTCATGTTACTCATAAAGGGTATATGGGTTGGAGCAAGTTAGGGATTTAGTGGAAAGTAAATTGTTCTAGAAAGCGTTGACTACTAACTGTGGAAGTGCTTCTGAGTTTCAGGAAGAGCAGAAAGTTCATGCTTACATAACATCTCTCTCCCTAGGCTCCGAAGACAGATAGTCCTGTGGAATCACCTACTTCACCTGAATCTAAAGAGAACTTGGTGGACTTAGCACCTCAACTGAAGGGAACTAAGGTTACACCATTACTTTTCATAGGCTTAATTAAGTTAAACATGAAAATAAGTTCATTTCTCTATTTGTAACCCCCTTAATAGAACTGATCTTCAATGATGTTCTTTAATAAGTAATATTTGTTGTATTACTGTTTCTAAGAAAGTTCAACATTTGGTTATATGTAATTAGGTTCCAGATTTTGCCTCTTGAATCCTGTGCCAGAATCTGAAATAGTTGTTGCAGGTTCCTGGTAATCATGGCAGTAGGACCATTGATCTCATGCACATTGTTTTAAAACCAGTAACCCAATTCTCAGTTCTGATGTTTAAGGATGAAAAGTTTATACAACTGCCACCAATTACAGCATCACCCATACCACCATCAGCACCTATTTCATTACCTAAAGAATCCGTGACTTCTGCTAAAAAAGCTGTAAGTATTACCTAAAAAAAATAAAGAAAGAAAGAAAGAAAGAAAACCCCATTTCCCTCTAGTTCTTTTTAAGGGCAGTGAAAATCTAGAATCATAACTATTGTAAAACACTGCACAGTCCTTGTTTTCTGCATAGTTCTTCCTGTCATTCAAACAGGAAGCTGTAGGCTGAATTTTAGTCATCTTATAACCACTACATTTTTTTTAAACTCAATTATCCAAAAGTGAAAAGAAAAAAAAAAAAATCAACCAATGCAACTGTGGATCAGACCTAAACATGTTAAGTCTAGAAGCTAATTACAATATAGGCAGATTCTTATTTTCCTTTGTGCCAGATGGAAATAGTTCCCATATGTTGTTTATTTCACACAGGATTCATGTCAGGAGATACTAGCAGGAAAGCAATTTAAATTTTAAGAGAAATGCTTGTAAATAACAAATTACTTATCTATTTTTCCATTTGGATAAAGGAATTTGGGGCAAGAGAAAAAAAGCATAATGCAAGCAAACAGTAGAGGGGTCATGGGAGGGTTGAACTGTGTAGTGAGCGGCTCTCCTGGCTCCTGAGGACCAAAGAGCACCAGGGAAGTCAGATGGGGCAAATTGCATCGAGGCCTGATTTGCAAGTCTTTATTTTTATTACCACGTAAATTATAAACTCAGATTTGACCTTGTGGTCTGTCATTATTTTGATTAAGAAAACCAAAAGAGTAACTCCTAAAGAACTTAAACATCTAATTGTGACCAGGGGATAACATCCTCATGTTTTGTACCTAGACGCTCCAGACCAAATCACAAGACAGCCCAGAGCAGCGCCAATAGGGAGCAGGACGCCTGGAGGATGAAGCTCACGCTCTCAACTTCCTGCCCTCAGCCGTGGCATTCATAAAGGACCTCCCAGCTCAGATGGGGTCTAGTTTGAATAGAGGATCAGGGGCAGTCCTTTTGAGACCTTGTAAACACTCCAGATGATGTCAGCAGTCAGACCAAGTTCAGACCATTTAGAAAACTATAATTGCAAAGCCCATTTCCTCTGTGTCATTATGTCATCCCACTAAACTTTGTGTAAAGCACCCCCACACCCCATGTTGTTTTTAACAGCTTCATATTTGTGCCCATTTCCTTCCTTCAGGGGAGGAATTTTTTTTAATTTTATTTTTGCATAATGGAATCAGCTTAGTCCTTAGACAACTCTGCCTCCTGTGACTTGGCAACCTGAGTAAAGAACTTGGAAAACTCCAAATACCATTGTAAGAGCACCTCACCAATTCTTTCAGAGTGACCCACCGATAGGAACAGTGCTCTGGAAATGAAGTGCTCATGAGATGGAACGGATATTCCTCAGTGCAGTCTTTCTGGATAGAAAGAAAAAAAACTTCTCGGAGGATAGAACGAGGAATTAGACTGGCAACCTAAAAAGGTTTGGCGGCTGCTCGGCTGTTGCGAGACTTCCCCTCTGGGTCTGCCGGAATCTGGGAGGCTGCCATGATCCTAGCACACATGGCTTTCATTAGCCACCATTTTGCTAGGAAGCATAATTAAGGGTTTAAGACTTAACCATTTGTTTGTGCTGGGTGTGTGTTTTTCTGGTCCAGTCTTTCACAAACGAGACTCTATTAGTCATAGGGGTAATTAAAGTCTGATATAATCCCCACGCTACCCAGTAACAAATATTGTTTCAGACATTTGCTTGGTGTTTTCTGTATTGTCAAAACGGAAAAGAAAAACAACATCCTAGATTGCTGTGCAGCTGACCCACAGCCCTTTTCCCTTGGGGAGCGCTTAGGAGGGAAAAGGTATTTCGGCCTGTGGGTGATGAAATTAGATCTCTTGACTTGCTGTGAAACTGAAAGCAGTTGGATGGGAATCAGTCAAACTAAATAAAAATGCAAATATCCTTGAGGACCATCATCAGCATTTCACAGCAAGGACATGTGCTTTTGATAAGCTTCCTGAACTCCCTCCTCTCCACGAGAAGACAAGCTCCACCATGTCCTGCTAATGAACTCCGCCCTGTTCCTTGAGAAGAATGAATCCCTACTATGCAGCGTTCCATGGATCTCCCCATTGGACTAACAAGGTGATTCATAATAAAGACCCCCCCCCTTTTTTTTTTTAAATGATGGGTGTTAATTTTAATTAGTTCGCATTTCAAGTGTTGACTGTGGGAAAGGAATTAGCTACTTGTAGAATCCTGTTCAGGTTGAATGATTCATATCTGCTGTTGGACTACAATCTTTCTGGCTTTCCCTACGAGCCGATTAAGAATGATTAAGTCAAGGGGCCCCTGGTCAGTGGGGTTATTAAGCAGAGTGAGAAGGAGTAGGTCAAGGGGCACCTGGTCACTTTTGGCCCCAGTTGGCCTTCACCCATTTTTGCTTCATAAACAGGCATCTAAGACACACGATACACCTATCTTTCCCTTCTTATGGAAGTCAAGATAATTCCTTTTGTTCTCATCACTTAGAGGGCGTGGCTGTTGGTTCCATGATTGTTAGACCTAGCCCCATGCTGAGATAGAGTTAGTGTGTTCAGAGAAATGATTAACTGGAGGGGGAGGAGGGCTGGTTTGTTGTAACACAAATTCCAGTGATGTAAATATTCCCACATGGCTGATTTCAAGCTACCAACAGGTCACTGAACACCAGTTGGGAAAAGATGTACACAACTGACTCAAGAACCAGTCCCAGCACACTACTTACTAACTTTAGTGCCTACCAGAGCAACAAGAAACAAACTACTAGTCGTCATGCTCAATAAATGCATCACTTTTGTGCACCAGAAGCATAAATGGTTCTAAATTCTGTTACTTGCTGAAAGCTGAGTCTTCCTGAACACTTGGGTTCTTGCTGACCTTCCCTTTCCCTGGCTCTCAACTGAGGGAGTGGAAAGCTGTGCCAGGTTGCTGCAAAAGTTTCTCCCTTCCTGGTTCTCTACTCTTCCCTGCAGATGCATATACCTCAGTGTACCAGCTGCTACTAAACCCACTGAGTATAATTTTAGAAAATTCCTGAAACCCAATCTGAGTGATTATAGACATGGTCTGTATCTTAGACATTGAGAATTCTGTTCCAGGTAGGTATCGGCACTTGACATCCACAGACCTGCTCTTGTGCTGTCTAACTCTATACTTCGATTGTTACAGGTCATATTGGTGATATCCAATAAATGCTCAATAGTGCTAAAATCTAGGTTAAAGACCGCCATTACCACCAATACACACTCTAATGGAACTTCAAAGCAGGCTGGCATATTACCTAATTGGACTGAGATAATGGCCTGTTGGCTCCTCCCAGTGGCCACTGATACACAGCGACTTCATTGTCATTGAGATACTTGTTTCATGAGGTTCCATCTTACTTACCTGAGATCAATTACATTACATTAGCGATACCAAGGGACTGATTCCCAGTCTATGGCAATCAGAAAAGGCAGAAAGGCAGCATTGATTAATATTGTGGTAATTCCAGGCCCTAATCTTTTAGCTCTCGGGAAACCAGACAAGTTCAGTGCCTCGACAGCACGCTGCCTTCATTAGATAAACTGGATTCCTTTTCTCAGGAGACCCAATCTGGTCATCTAAGTAAAACGGTCATTTCATTTTCTCTCAGGTCAATTTCACTATCTTTTATTAGACAGCCAGCTCAGTCTCTGGGGAAATCCAGGGGTGATTTGAGTAGCAACAACAAAGACATCACTTAGAATAGTGTCTTATATATTTTTCTAGCACCTCTCCCGAAGGGATATAAAGCCCTTCATAGATCATCCATTCTCACAACATTGCTTCGAGGGCCAAGGCAGAAATGATCATCACCGTTTTACAAGGAAAGATACCACTGTAAGGTCTGAAAGCAAATGTTTTTAAGAGCTAAAATTAATTTCCTGGCTCTGTTCACCAAATTATGCCTTCATTAAACATAAACACAAACTGTAAGAGATTGACAGTTGCATATTTACAAAGACACAAGGAAAGAACTCATTTACAATAGTAGCCAACACTGCAGCTGCAAAAACCCCCCAGCTAGCTCAGAAAGGAAACATAAAGCAGCAATCCCATTTTCCCTACAGAAATGAAAGCATAGTGAACTTTCTTCTGTATTCAGCCGTAACCCGGCAAAAAAAAAAAAAAAAAAAAAGCAAGCTTCCGGTCTAGAGGCTGCACAGGCAGGTTAAGCACTGAGTTCTGAGGAGCCAGGACACGCTTGGTGAGTGCAGTGACAACCAGCAGGTGGCAGAGGAAGTGAATTTCCAAGCCGCCTCAAACATGTAGAGCATTTTTTTCCCTTTCCTGAGGGAGGGGATGGGGTTTGTACAGGAGGGACTTATAGGAAGCCAAGATCTGTGATAGTCCCAACTTGCATGCAGTTTGATCACTTGGGTACTGGTGTGGGGGAGGATCACGAACACAGAGCAGACTGGAAAACATGAAGCGAGGGACCTTAACGTAGACCTCGTCCTGGGTGACAAGCTTCCCCTTCCACAGCAGCACAGACAAAACCACACTCACACAGAGGGCGTAGATGCAAATCTGGGTTCGGGTTTCAGCACGCCCCCGCTGGAATAATCCTTAGCTTGCCTCCACCTCTTCAGTTCTACTCCTTGGCTATTCCAAGAGCCCCCCCCCCCCCCCCCCCCCGCTCCCTCTCTGACCATCTGAACCACCCCCCCCCCCCAACCCACCAGCTTCCCCTGAGGAAACAGTTTGTGGTTGAGGGCTGCAGGGAGGAGGGCTCCTGGCTCTGGCCCAGCACCCCTGGTGCACTGACAGGAGGTCCCTGCTCACTACACAAATGTCTTCTTTTCCTGCCTTTCCAAAAGCATCCAAGGGGTGGGAGTTTTGTCCGGAGGTGTCAGCCCAGGACCTGAAAGGAAGAGGTTAGGAGGACATGGCAGGGAATGTGCAGACCCAGGCCCACGGCCCATCATTTTTTGCTCCTTTTCGGTTGCCATTCTCTCCCTCGTCACACAGCCCATATAAAAATGAAGCAGCAGCAATTTTTATTATTTGAAGGACCTAAACTGAAAATAGGTTTAGAACATAATTTAAAAAAATAAAACAGCAAAAGTAGCAAAAAATATATGACCTTTTTAAAAACATTTTCCTTTTTTTTTTTTTTTTCTTTTTTCCCCCCTCTGTTTTTTAATATATAGCAACTGATGTCTCCCAGCCACCAGGAGCATCTTACCCAATGGGTAAATCTCTGGTAATGACCCTTTTAAAAAGACATGTAAATATATACTCAGATTTATACACTTTGTGTTTTCTTCATAGCTATGTACAAAGCCCCCCCGTCGGGGCTGGGCCCCAGGGCCACGACACTGCTCCCAGCCTTCGCCTCCCTGCCCTCTGGTACCAAGTATTTGGTCAGCAAAGCAAATTAGCATCAGAATTAATCAGCCAACGGCACCATCTCTCTGAAGCCTTCAACTGCGGGCCCGAAGCAGAGACTTTCCCCTATACTGTAGCCTTGAGGACGAGGCACCCGCTACCGGAACACAAGGGCTTATGGGTGATGGAGAAGCAGACAAAACCAACACAAGAAAGCTCAGTCAGCTCTCGCTAGCATGCCTGCTCAGCACGCTTACCTCCCACTCCCACCCCTTCGGGCAGTGCCAGGGGGCAGGAAGGGGTCTTGGTCCATCATTGGGGAGGGAACAGAGTGGCCATCAGCAAATACCAGCCTCTCTGCTCCTCTCTCTCATAAGCAGGTTGAGAGGAGGAGGAGGAAGAGAGGAGAACTCAGTGGGGTGAAGGCCTCAGGTAGGCAGCTGGCTCCCGCCGGCAGGGAAGGGACAAAGGGGAGGCAGTGAGTCCTGTGAGGAGTGACAGGTGAGTTACAGCTGATGATGGAGTTTGGGGAGGGCAGTGCTGGGGGGTGCTAGTCAGCGTCGTTTGAGTCCGCCATTGGCAAGCTGGGCTGGGTGTCGGGGCAGACAGGGCTCCTCAGGCAACGGCTCGTGAGAGAAGACAGAATCCTCCCCCGAGGAGCAGGTAGAGCTTCGGGTGTCAGGAAAGCTGGGCGAGTATTGGTCCAGGGGCATTGACAGGTCCAGATACTCCTGTGATGGGAGAAACAGAAGATGGACGGATCAGCACTCTCCTCCCTGCGGCAGTCTTCGTTCACAGAGACGTCCCTAAGCGGTGGCGACGGAAGGGCTAGCACGGGACAGCCTCACCTGGTTGGAGGTCAAGGCCACTATGCGGTCCAGGTCTTCTACCAGCTGCTTGAAGGTAGGTCTCTGAGAAGGTACTGCGTGCCAACAATCCCGCATCATCATGTACCTGTGGCAGGATTGTGAGGTCAGGTGAGGAGATACGTACGTGGAGAGATTAAGTAGCTCAAGGAGGAGGGACTGTGGGAGGGGTGACCAGGGGCGGCCGTGTTCTCTATCTAAACACCCCTTCCTTCCTCTTCCCGGCAAACCCGTCCAGCCTCCAGGGCCTAACTCAGGACCTTGGGCATCCTTTCATGCTTACAGCTCGTTGGTGCAGTTGCTGGGCTTGTCCATCCGATGACCCTCCTTCAGCAGCTTGAAAAGCTCCTCCACAGGCACACCGGGATATGGGGATCCTCCCAGAGTGAAGATTTCCCACAGGAGCACCCCAAAAGACCACCTGTGGATGAGCACAGAGCCCATGGGTGTTGTGGACCCAGGGCCGGGCCCAACCTAGAATCCTTTCCATCTCTCCTTCACCAGCATGTCACATCCTCATCCTGAACCTACCCTCCCCAATGAAAACCCTTAATTCCCAGGAGAATACTGAGAGAGCGGAAGACAGATGGGCCTTTCCACCTCCGGGAACAAAGTAAATGGTTATATACAACACATTGTTTTGTTTTCTCCTCAAAATAGAAGGAGACCTCCTTCAATTCAGAGAGGAGGACAGGACCCTATTGTACCAGACATTTTCTATCCCAAGTATCCATGGCAATGGCCCTTGTCAAACTCACACATCACTCTGGTGGGTGTAGATCCGGTCAAACAAAGCCTCGGGTGCCATCCACTTCACAGGCAGTCGGCCCTGCAAGTAGCATGGGGAAGTTGGAGTGGCCCAGGGCAGAGCAACGAGGGAATAGGAAGAGGGGAGGCGGGGCATGTGAGGGACTGGACGTGGGAAGGGACGCACACATTCAGCTCATCCCACCACAGCTTCTCAGGCAAAGCCACCTGCACTGAGCTACAGCAGACAAGTGTCTGTGGGAGGAAGCCTAGCACAGCAGAGTCTCAGGGCAGACAGAGGACTTACATTGGTGGTCTTTTTATAGTAGTCGATGTGGTGAATGTCCCGAGCGAGGCCAAAGTCCGCGATCTTCATCACATTGTCCTCCGTCACCAGGACATTCCTGGCGGCCAGGTCTCGGTGTATGCACTGTGAGACAGGAGGGCAAGCCGTGGGAGGAAGGGATGGGAGACAGGAGGATGGGATGCAGGTGAGGCCATAAAACTGTAGATATGTATCGGCATCCAGCTATCCGAGTCTCGCTGCACTCCGGCACTCACTCTGCAGCTGGCAGGCCCAGCTACTCCCAGGCTCTCTCCTGCCACAATGCTCGCCTCCTAAACATTTCGGTTCCCTGCTAGGCGGTCCCTCTTCTCCACTTCAGACTCAGCCACTCAAACACCTCCAGCTCCAGGCCTCTCCATCACTTCGGCAACCCGCCCCCGTCTTTGCCTCCTCTTCTGGTCCTTCCAACTCTTAGCTTTGGATCTGTACCTGGAGAGGCTGAACCTTTATGCTTCTGTCCCATCTATACAGAGTGTGCTCATCAACCCTATCTCCCCAGGCCCAGCATAACTGCACTGGGCTGGGGCCTGAAGCCAGCATGTACTGAGCACCCACAGCTGTCCTCAACACTCTCACTCTTCATAGTTCTCCCATAACTGTTACTTTATATTTGAAGAAACGGAAATAGAAAATGTTAAGGCTGCTCAGAAAGTGGCAGTGCACAGAGCTGAACCTAGCCCCAGCCACACAGGTTACACTGGCTCTCTTGACTTTGGTGTCCCCTGAGGGCCTAAGCCAGCACACGGAGTCAGTGCTCACTGACCATTCCACCAAGGACAGAAAGCCATAAGCTGGACATCTGTTCCCACCCCGACATCACCCAGGGGAGCTGGCAGGTGCCATACCTTCTTGGAGGCGAGATACTCCATGCCTCGGGCCACCTGGTAGGCGCAAGAGACCAGGTCCTTGGAGGAGAGCTGCTCCTCGGGGTTGTGGCTGGGGTTGTAGCAGTATTCCAGCCCAGGAGGCCTCCGGGCCTGCAGGTACTCCCGGAGGTTGCCCTTGGAGGCATACTCCACGATGACGTACAAAGGACCTGGGGGGCGGGATGTGTGGATGGAGAGGCCATCAGGCCAGTACGCAGGTTTCGCTTCACCTGGAGAAAACCCCACACCCAATGGCACACCCTGCCTAAGTTCCCCTTTAGGGAGCCAGGGAAATTCTTTCCACTGCTCAAAGAGAGAGAGAGAGAGAAAGAAAGATAGATAGAGAGTCCAGCATAGTCCAGAAAGTTACCGAGCAAAACTGGGGTTCATAGCCCTAATCTAGACCACTATTACTACTCACCTGTTCCTATCCACACAGCATCTATGAATCTAGGTACCTGTATTCTCAAATATAAATGGGCATCCGCTCAGACCCCATACATTCCAAGTACTGCTAACCCTGCCTCTCTCCTTATGCCGCTTCCCTAACATGGCTAAGAGCTCAGTATCTCCTCCCTGGCAGACACTGTAGGGGAGCAGCAGGCCCAGGTTCCCATCAGAGACCCTTCCCCAGAGCGGGTGGGAAAGCCGGCCTGGCTCAGTGCCTACCATCCTGCGTGCAGGCTCCCAGCAGGTTGATGATGTTCTTGTGCTTCCCGATCATCTTCATCATCTCCATTTCCGAGATCAGGTCAGACAGGTCTTTCTCTGTTGCATCCGCTTTGCACACAAACCAGAGAAGGGGAGGAGACTCATTTACTTTGGGAGGGAGGGCGTCGGGAGAAAAGCTAGGGGACGGGGGATGCGGTGAGGTGTATGCCTGAGGAATCCCTTTTCTCCTCGAGTGGCTCCCCTGCTCCCCTTTCCCTTCCCTCTCATGACAGCCGTTGTGGAAATACGTAGCGCTGAGAGGGGCAGAGGATACGGTAGGGACAATTAGCTAGCAATGGAATTTAGAATAAACACCTGACCACAACCCGGGTTAGCTCCAGGTCCTGGCAATCTCAGGGGGTGGGGGGCAGAGCACCGTCCTCCACTCCCAGGCCACCCCACGCAGGTGTGGGTGAAGAAAAGAGCACCAGAGGGTGTTCCATGTGGTCCAAGGCCCACAGTTCGCTTGGCAAGGGAAGGGACCGTTTTTTACCAGGGCGAAAGCATCACTTACACTTCAACATCTTCACAGCCACTTTGGTCACACGGTTGGGTTTGTCCTTGTCCAGGCCAATGGCCTCTGCCAACACCACCTGCCCGAAGCAGCCCTCTCCCAGGGGTTTGCCTAGAACCAGCCTATGGCAGAAACAAAGGTGGTGTAAGATGGGGCTGAGGAAGTTCAAATCCGAGGACACCCCATCGCTGCTACTCCATATTTCACCTGGCTGGATGGAAATTGCTTCTGGATACACTTGGTGCGCCTTCACGCCCGAGAAGGCCTCTGTACATACAACTCCCACCGTCAGAATTACAAGCAGGGGACTTCCTCACATGCTGAGAGAATTACCTGTCCCGAGGCAGCTCCCAGCGAGGGTCTTCGGGGAGCTCATATTCAGAGACCCCGGCCAGCATGGGGGTTCCGCTGGAGGAGAGGCGGGAGGGCCGCACGAGCAGAACCCCAGAGTTCATGGATGCGCTGGAGTCGGCCGACACCTACAGGGAAGCGTTAGGTCACCCTTCTAGCAGATTCTTCCAGCTGCTAGTCAGGGCTTTTCACCAGTGGCAGAGGGATAAACTGCTACCTGATGTCCCTTCCCAGGCAGAGCGGCAGAAAGACCACAGAGGTCGGAAGTTTTAAATTGGACTTCTTTTGCCACCAACTAGCCTTACTGGGCTTCAGTTTACTCACCTTTAACACGAACAGACCTTACGTACCTCTCCCAAATGGACAGAAATGAACATGGCAACGACTTTATTCTGTCCTCTTTGTAAAAACCCTGCCTCTGATGATGGATTTCTAACTTTCAAATTGCCCCCCATAATTAACATAGTTCTGCATGAACATTCCCTCCTCTCACAGCCTTCACCTTCTGTTCCAGTTCCTTGAGGGAGGGAGGGTGGGCACACAGGAGAGGGCATCTTGGGACCCAATCCAGGTCTTTCTTTTTTCTTTTTTAAATATATTTTATTGATTTTTTACAGAGAAGAAAGGAGAAGCATAGAGAGTTAGAAACATCGATGAGAGAGAATCATAGATCAGCTGCCTCTTGCACATCTCTTACTGGGGATGTGCCCGCAACCCAGGTACATGCCCTTGACCGGAATTGAACCCTGAACCTTTCAGTCCGCAGGCTGACGTTCCATCCACTGAGCCAAACTGGTTTCAGCAGGTCTTTCTTTCTATTCTGTATCTTTGCACCTCTAACTGGCCTTCGGGGATAGTTCAAACATGCAGCAGCCAATGCACATTTGCCCCAGGTAGGACTTTCTCCCCATCCACATGCCAGGGGAGCAGGGGACTTGCAGCTAGGGTATGGTGGGCGTATGGAATCCATGGGCTGGGCACCTGACATTCCCCCTGCCCCTGACTCACAGCCAGAAAGCAAAGCTGGAAGCAGTAGGCTGGAGGCAGACAGTTAGTTAGGGGTTCCCAGAGAAGCTCCTGGGGGCCCAGGGAGAGGAGGGAGGCAGAGAGTGCAAATCCCCTATCTACTTTCTGTTACCTGTCTGCGCAGGGGAATGCTCTTGGCCAGCTTGTGCACGGCCATCTGGCTATGGAAATCGCTCTTCTTGGTGCCACTCTTCATCTTGTAGATGATGACGGACCCCACCATGCAGGAGATGAGGAAGGCCCCCGTGCAGTAGATGATGATCTCCAGGTACAGGGGCGAGGTCATCACTGCAGGTCTCTCTTCCAGGGCTGAGTCATGTGAATAGGGTGTTAGCAAACTCCGGGGGCCCAGCCAGCTGGTGTCCCTAACTCCTACCTCCATAATCCTAGCTCCTAGCTCCATAAGACAGACAACACCCATCTCCTTTCCTCTGGGAATCGTTAGGACAGAGAAGATTCCTAGCTAGGATTGGGGCTCTGGCATGAAGCCTATCAGATATCCTGTGCTCCTTGGAGCTTGCTGATCCTGACCCGAATCCTCCAGGACGAGCTAGAACCATCTTGCTATACGTGGCCCCTCCTCATTAATTCAGGTGGATGACATTTTTCTGGGTGCCCTTCTCAGCCTCCTCATGAAAGCATGTGGCCCTTTGCTGGCGCCCCTCAGCTCAGCAGGCACACACCCATCACCCGGGGCAGATGGACCATCCTGTCTCTGACGGTCTGAGGGTGGGCATGAAACCTTGTTTACTTTTCTGTGGTCCCCAGCGCCTGGCTTATAGTGGCACTTGCAGGATGAAGACAAATGAGGGTGGGAGGAAGGAGCGTGCCTGTGTCCTGACTTCCTATCTCACCTTTCACTTCTGTTGTCTGTCTCAGGTCAGATGTGTAAATATTCACACCGAGCCAAACCACAGGCAGAACTGACTAATTTTGAAACGTGTCTGCACTGCTCGAGATGAGAAGTAAAAATGTTTTTGCAGTTCTGAGGAATACTACCCACAGCTCCTAACTCCTCAAGCTGAGGGGGCATGCTCTATTCTGTTCTCCCATCTTCCGCTTAGAATTCACCCCCTTCCCACAGAGGCCCATCCATCCAGTGCACCATTCCCTCCCGCCTGAGAATGGCGGAGAACACTCCATCCTCACCAGAGTGCACATCCCTTTTACTTCCACAGCCTTCCCTCCTCCCTGACCCTCCCCTTTAAAGCACTCCAGCCATCCCAGAGGCAAGCCCACTGGGGACCTCCCACAAGAGGCACTGGTGAGAACTCCCGGGCCTGACAAGAAGACTGCAGAGCTGATAACAAGAAGTGTTTCTGTGTTTTCTCTTTCCCCAGCATTGAGAAACGAAGACAGACGAATGAGTGGGAGCACACGTGGACAAAGACAGTGACAATGACAAAAACAGAACACTTCTCTGCCTCGAGCAGGGGCGTTATCAGACCCTGCAGGGAAAAGCAGGGTAGAGGAGGGAGAAGAGAGGGCAGCATGAGCAGCAACAAGAACCGCACAGCGCCCAGACCCGCATGCAGGACCCTCAGAGAGGCAGCGACAACCAGCTCCAGCCCTGCGGTCACCAGCCCACCACCCTGATCAGGCCGCGGGCTCCTTCCTTCCTGGCCCAACACACAGACTCAAAGAGGATACGTGTGACGAGGCCTCACTCGGCTCAAGTCCACTCAATTGGGTAGAACATCTGAGATCAGAGGACGGCCATACAGGAGGCTGGGCTAGTGCTGCTAGCAAGCAGCAAGCCCCTCTTTAGAGTGCGTCCGTTCAGTTAGAGGAGGAGAAGTGGGGCCCTCTCTGAGACTTTGCAGGGGAAGCTGGACACAAAGGGCCAGACAAGTCAGGGACAGTCGCTGGACCGAAGGATGGAAGGAGTCCGCCCTGGAAGAGAGCCCGGCCAAGGTTAAATCCAGATCCCATGCATGCATTACGTGGGCCCAGGGGAGAGCCAGATGCAGGTGTACAGGTGGGAGGGAGGCCTCCGTGTTCTTACAAACGAGGAAAGCTCCTGTGGGAGCCTGAGGAATCGACTCTCGAGGTTGCATAAATGGCTGGAGCTGCCTAACGGCCCCGCCAGAGCTCATTCCTCCACCTCTCCTGCCTCTGTGTCTCCCCCAGCCCCGCAATGCATGGTCCCCCCGTGCCCGTGGCGAGGGCAGGACATCGAGAGGAGAAGTACAGTGTATACCTTCCAGAACGGTCAACCATGCAGAGTGATGGGAGAGTCCGATAGAGTTACCCGCCAAGCACGTATACTCCCCCGCGTCCTCAAAGGAGACATTCCTTAAGTGAAGCACTTCCATCTCTTTGTCGGTGGTATTAACTCCGGCAGTCTAGAAGAGACAACGGAAGCAAAATGGACGAGCACCGGACGTGAGACCTCTCAGAGACGCAGAGAGAGGGAGGAAGAAAGAGGGGGGCGGATAAACCAGAGGAAGAGATGCTCCCCAGCGTCTCCTTTGCGACAACGAACACACAAAAACCACCAGGCAGCGAGACCTGTTAGAGGAAGAGAGTGAGACCCTGAGGGAGGAACTCCGCAGACCTGCGACGCCAAGGGCTGGTTACGACCCTTCACCAGACACTGGCAGCCCCTGGCCCATCCAAGCATGCGGGCGGGGGCAGCATGGAGAAATGGGGCCCGGCGGGCGGGGGGGCTGTTTGGTTTCAGGTAAAGAAAGTCAGAGGGCACACACAGGAGGGATGGAAAAGGTGCTGCAGTCACACAGTCACACACACACACACACACACACACACACACACACACACACACGGCCTGAGGATGGTGGTTTCCTGGGAATGTCCGGTCCCATCTCATACCCACCACTCAAACCTCCTGTCTGCAGTGAGACTGTAGTGCAGTGAGACTGTCCTGTGAGTGCACACACAGTCAAGGGACACACAGAAGGCACAGAGGGAGCAGACACCAACACAGTACCAAACCAAACCAGCCTCCCAGGCCGGGTATTTTTCCATGGCTCTGGGCACTTAGAAACACAGCAGGGTAACAGGGAGCGTTGGGTGCTGGCTTCCCCACGGGCCCGGCAGTGTGGGGCCAAAATCAAATTCCCGGCACAGGGCCCCATCCATCTCCCCATTACCTTTTGCCACAGGTCTGGTGACAGTGAGCCACGCAGACTGGTTAGCTTCACCAATATAATTGGAAACCTTACACACATACTCCCCGCTTTGGGCCTCTGTCACATTGAACAGGGTCAGCACTTCCGCATCCGAGCTATTAATCCCCGAATGCTGGAACAAACCAACGACACGCCAGTCAGTTGGGCAAACACGGAGATGTGGCCATACTCTGCTCCCGTGTAATGTGAAGGCGGGGAGCTAAGGCAACGGAGACACTGAGTGAGATTGATCATCTTTCCATTTTTAGGAGGACAAAAGAAGTAGTCTTCAAAAGTCGGAAGCATTGGATTGCAAACTAAACTAAAAAAAAAAAAAAAAAGCACTGCCCCAAATCAAACGCTGTTTGTATTGAAACCCTTCCTCCAAGACTAGGGCAGGACTATGAATGGCCAAGCACAGTCCATTTCCCACCCCGCAGTGTCAGCCCCAGCAGTGAAGAGAAGGGATGGGCCAGTAAATCTCTGGGACAGCCGAGTGAGGGGAGGATGAGGTCTAACTCTGGGACCAGGAGGTAAACCACTTTCCCAGCTTCTGGTTACTTCCTGTTGCAAGATCCACTGGAGAGTTAGGCAATTACCTTCCCTGGATTAATGGAGCATTTCAGGGACAATCAAATGTCTGGGAGTGACAGGAAAAAGGAAGAAAATGCCATTACTCCTCATGTGGCTTAGAATTTACCTGTGGCATTTGCTGTTTCAACTCTAATTAAGCCGTGCCCTTATCAGTCACCCTACTTGCCAGAAAAACGTGACTTGGAAAAAGAGGACGGAGACTGGGAAATGCTTGTTGGAAAGGCTGTGGTCCTGAGCAATGGGAAAGCAGGCCTCCAAAGGCCTTCCGTGAGTAGCTGACCCAGAAGTCACTCTCAAAGGTCTTTAGGAATCAGCAATGCCCAACCACCTCCCATCAGCCTCCATTCTGTGACCGGTCACTAGTCCTGGGGAACGTGGCTAGGTCCCTATTTAACATGAGCATGTGCCCCGAAAGGGTAAAGGATGAGTCCCAATTGTGGGTATGGAGCCAGACCACAGCTCCTTGGGTCCCAGGAAATACTGGTCTCCTTCCCTGCACCCAGCCCCCGGAGCCTGGGGTCAAGATTACCTTCAAGATCTGGACATAAGGCAGGTTGTCCGGACCAATCTTACTCCCATTCACCTCGATGTGCTTTAGCCACTGGATGTGGGGCTGTGGGTCACTGTACACCTTACACATGAACTCCACATTGCTGCCCAGGGCCACAGTCTTATTGGCAGGCAACCCTGCCTGCAGGATGGGCCGATGAGGGGACCGCTCTGTGGAGGAAGGGAGAGGACAAGCTTGTCAGGTATGCTGACAGACAGCATCCCAAAGACCACAAAGGGAAGTCCCATAGACTCTTGCTGTTACACGTGTGGACCAAAGAAGCAGCCTAGCATCACCTACAAACTTGTTGAATGAAATGCTGGGTGGACCAGAAGCTTCTTTGTAGACCATCTCCTCAAAACCAAGACAGAACGCTGGTTGTGAAACTATTTACCTTAAGATTCCTAGAATGAGATTCAGACTGGCTGCAAGGAATAGGCAGTAGGAACAGCCTCTCGGGTCTCATGAGATGCCCTGGAGTCGGCATGGGCCTGGGGTTCTGATTCAGCACGGACCTTTCTGAGCCCCCATTTGTTCTGTACGGCAGGACTAACAGTGCCTGCCTCACGGGGGTGCCAGGAGAATGGCAGGTAGTTGTGTGTAAGTTTGTAGCACACTGCTATCATTGACGAAGCAAGAGCCACTGTTATGCTGAGCTTCACATCACTACTCCAGGCACCTCTTTCAGGAGATCAGCACCTTTTTCTATCAACAGCACCTTTCACTCTGTAGTCAGTCAGAGCACCGTCTGATCCTCTTGACTCTCCTTACAGATACGTGAGGCACAAAGAGGAACGTGACCTGCTTAAAGTGACAGAGCTATGAAGTGCCTCCACCATCCTGGCTCTATCCCTAACGAAAGCTGGATCTCAAGGCCTGCTTCTCAACGCCCCTGCTCTCTCTCCTCTAAGCTCCCATCCCTGTCGCCACCGGCATTCTTACCCACAACGTCCAGCTGGTAGGTGTGGTTAATGCTGCCGTACTCGTTTTCCACAATGCAGGTGTAGTTGCCCTTATCAGAAGGTACCACGGAGTCCATGATGATGCTCCAGGTGGCATAACGGACCTGAGGGGAAACATGCCGAAGGGCTCCATGGAGGGTGTGGAGGAAAATGTAGGCGGAAGCCGCATGGCGCCCTGTGGCACTCACCCTCCAGTCTGAGGGAGCACAGGGCCCATGCAGCTCCTTGAGACAGGACAAGGCAGGTCTGCCCACCCCAGCCAAGGCCATTGTAACCTGGACAAATGTGCCTTCTGACTTCCCCCTCCATCCCCAAATACACCGGGAAGTTTCCCAAATGCTGCGCTCTATCCAGGCTGTTCCTGGGAAGGTCTGATTCCCCGGTAAGAGTCTGGCCCTGTCTGCCCTTGATGTCTCACTTCAAAATTGGCTCCTCCAGACAGATCAGAGGTCAGCATTGTTCTCACTGTCCCTCTAATGAAGCACTGATCACAGCCTGCTTTTCATGACAGTGCTCATGGATATCTGCCCGCCTGAGGCTGAAATTCTTTTAAAAAAATATATATTTTATTGATTTTTTACAGAGAAGAAAGAAGAGGGATAGAGAACTAGAAACATCGATGAGAGAGAGACATCGATCAGCTGCCTCCTACACACCTTCCACTGGGGATGTGCCCGCAACCATGGTACATGCCCTTGGCTGGAATCGAACCTGGGACCTTTAAGTCCACAGGCCGACGCTCTATCCACTGAGCCAAACCAGTCTTGGCTTGAGGCTGAAATTCTTTATGGCAGGAGCGCTGTCTTGTACCATTCATAGCACAGTGTCTTATACATAGCAAAAATTAAAATGTTCCCCTCTTTTTCCTGCTCTCCTGTGCTTTTCTTAATAAGATTAATGAGAAAAGAGCAGCGAGGTAGGATGGGAGAGGAAGAGAGATTATAAGGAGGATCAGACTCCAAAAAAGAGGTTCCGATGAAGATGTTCTTCCATCATCGACAGAGGACACGGACAATTTACACAACAGGAAATGGAAATTGTTCATTAACATAAGAAAATTTTACGCCTGTTGACAAGCAAAATAACGCACAAGAAAACAAGATATTTTTACTTATCAAATCTAGGGCAAAGGTATAGTGAACTTATTCTCATGCTTTGTTATGGGAGGGTGAATTAATTTATCTTTTAAGAAAGTAAAAGAAAATAAGGCTATACTCAACTCATTACCCAAATCATCATCCTCCATTAGAGCAAATGTCACAATAAAAATGTTATATCTTCTTATTGTACTTTGAACTCTCTCTTGCCTAGTATACATTCTGAAAAGATGTGTTAAAGAAATATTCATGTAATAAATGAATGTGAGTTAATAAGTAAAACAACCTAATTACCAGGAAAAAGGTAACTGAGCAATATGTGTCAAGGGCTTAAAGAAAATGCTAGCACTTTGAATTAATAATTTCACTTCTGGCAATCCGTCCTAAGGAAGAACATTTAAAAATGCCGACAAGCATTTAAGTACAAAGATACTAATTGTGATATTAATTATAACATTGAAAAACTAGAAAACGAGTAACACAAAATAGCCCATCAAATGACTGGACATTTTTAATAACAGAATATTACGCACTGTGAAAAGTTATCTTTCAAATGCATGTCAAAAGACTCATGCTATAATCTGAACACGTGACAAGAATGTACATACACGGTGTAATAACTAACTAAAAACCATGTGCAGAGAAAAAAGGCTGAAAAATCCAACTCCATTTGCACATTTTTATATTTGAAATGTTTATAAAATGTATTACTTCTATAGTTAGAAAGCTTCATTTGAAACAAGTAAAGGCATATAACAAGGATTTCTTTAACCAGCGTCTCCCGTTTCTATGCTGATGCTCATACAGACACACATACCTTGTAGCCTCCAATTCTGTGGTCAGGTTTGAATTCTTTGCCATTTTTCAACCAGCGCAGTGTGGGGTTAGGAGTCCCACTGGAAGGGCATTTGAACTTCACTGTTTTGGCAGCTGGTACTGCATGTAGTTTCTTTTCCATTTTTTCTGGAGACGTCCAGTATGGAGCCACAGCTGCCCAGGAAAAGCCAAGAGAAACAGGCAGGGCTGGTCAGGCTCAGGAGTAAGGGCCCAGGCCAGGACCCGGAGACACCCTGCCCACCTGCCCAACACTTGTGGCCAATGCCTGCACTAATCAGGATGCCCAAGGGATCCCACTGCCAAGCATCACCACTCCATGTGCCCGCTCCTCCTCGGGTGCTCCGATCACCTGAACGCCCCCTCCCCACCCAACCCAACAGCCAGACCCAGAGGGCAGTAAGGTAGGAAACAGTGTCTCACGCATACGGTTTGGTTTGGTGTTATCTGTCTCTTTCTCCTCCGAAGAGGAGTCATCATCGTCATCGTCGTCCTCCGAGGAGGGCAGAGCATCTGCGAGAAGGAGAAGGGGCTCTGAGGTCCCTCCCGGGGGAGAGGTTCCTCTAGATTTCCATCCATATCAACATCCCATACGCACAAAGGCCAGTCCGGTGATAGATGAAGGCAGACACTTTCCCCATACCAACCCCCGGCCCTTATGGACTCTCTCTCTGTCATCGGGAGAGAGACGGTTCACTAAGAACTGCACGCTCTATGCTTGTCCCTTTCTTTCCCCAACCTAATCTACTGCCCCTTTCTGCCCAGAGCTCTTTACACTTCATCAGGGGCAGTGGGCCTCGCATTCAGAGGCTCTCCCCACTCATGGTACCACTGGACGTGCTGGGTCTCAGAACTAGCACCCAGGGAACCTGTATCCTCCTCATTTAACCTGCTAACCATTGTGAAATCAGACAGACCTAGATACACTGAGGATGGAAGCTATTTCCAAAGCCATGAGCTGAACAACTGATAGTGGGATTTTCCCAGCATGCATCTGCTCAAGTTTGGAAGCTGCCCTTTTTGCCAGAGCAGATAGGGAGCCTAATACACCAGTCCACAGCTGCGATCACCTCTCCCCAACAAGTATCCAATCCTTTTGAGAGGTTTGACACACAGGTGACCACCAATCGGGGCTTATGCTAGATCTTTCTCTAGTCCTTGCTAAGGCTTTTTGGTGTCTGGAGGGAAATAAGAGGTGTCAAGTCCCTGTTGGGGGCAGGTTCTAAAGGATGCCCAAGTGGGGCAGGTGCCCAGCGTGCCTCTGGAGATTCACAAATGGCATAAAGGAAATCTCAGTTCTATTTTGTTGCATCCTGTTTTGTGAAAGGTGCACTCTCCATGTGACCAATGTCACAGAGCTCTAGGGTTCCCTGGCTGCCCTCGTTGCTCCAGAAGCTGGGGGATGGGTATTTTCTACAAACCCTCTGGCTATGGCGGTGCATCTGGATCCTTCCCCATCACAGCAGGGGCCTCACAGCGTATTCTAGGGCTCTAATCACTAAACCAAGTACCAAGGCCAAATGGCAAGGGAATGACAGGGTGGGCGCTGGCTGAGCCCTACGCGGCACCCTGGAATCTGGGCAAGCTGTGGTGCAGCCCGTATCTGACTGTGCCGAGAGTATCAGCAATCCCCTCTCAGGCAGATCTGAGAAGCCTGGGGCCCACACACCCCGGTCACCCCTCTGAGAGCTAAGCCACGCGGCGGGCAGGGAGCAATGTTAGTGGGCAGCAGTTTCTGAAGCAGAATGGGGGCAGGTCATGGAAGGAGAGGAGCTTCACCTCCCCCTGAGACTAGCAGAGAGGGCGAAAGGAGGGGAACCAAGAAGAAGGTGAGGGTGAGGCTTGGCTACCAACCTGAGACATTGACGGAGAAGTAGGTGGTGTCGCTGCCCGAGGGGCTGCTGGTCACGCAAGCGTAGAGGCCGGAGTCAGCGGGCACAGAATCCCGCACCTCCACCTCCTCCCCTGTGATGCGGGTACGGTTGCTTTCCACCAGCTGCACCCCGTCCCGCAGCCAGTTGATGCTCTGGACATCGTCCCGCAGCCGACAGCGGAGCTGCAGCAGGTCACCGGGGTGGACCAGGAAGGACTCCACCTCCACAGGGGCTCCCCAGGGCTGGGCTGCAGCCACCACAGGGGCCAGGAAGAGGAGCCAAGGGGCCGGAGAGGGAGAGAGGGAGAGGGAAGGAGGGAGAGACAAAGGGAATTACGCTAGAGGCACTGAGCTGCCACATCCCAGGGGCCACAGAGCTGGGGAGATGGGGACTGGAATATGGGTCAGTCAGGAGATGGCTGGCTACCTGGGAACCCCCAATCTCTTCTTCTCTTACTCCCCCCCTTCCCTCCTCCAAAGGTCAAAGGTAGAAAGAAGAAAAGTTAGGAAGCAGCTGCAGCAGCATTAAGCGGTTCACATTTCATTTCCCTCCATCCTAGGGGGACACAGCCAGCCCTCCCCAGGACGTCTCTGTGTCCAGAGCAGCCCCTCCCCACACACTCAGTTCCCTGCCAAGAATGGCCACTTCCCAGAGAAACACCCCGTTTCCTTTTGGCTGGGTCAGTTTTTCCCCTTTCCCCGGGTAACAGTTGAACAAACCCCAAACCCTCAAACATCTAGCAACCCCCACCCAAGTTGAGAGAAGGCAATGCATCACCGAGGCCGCTTTGGGTTCAAGTGATTGGAGGGTGGGGTTCTGGCCCCCCAATGAGTCAGATGCATCAGATGAATATGGGGGAGAGACAGCCCAGCAGAGGTCAGCTCAGGGGAGCCTCTGGCTAACAGGTGTCAGGCCAGAGGACTCGAGCTTTTGCCTATATTAGGAATGGAGGCCTGCAGCTGCCACCAAACCCACACTTGTGCTGGCAGCCTAAGCCGGTGCACACAAAGCTCTTTTCTCCTCCCCACTGCAGGCTCCCCCCTCAAAACCCCCACCCCCACCCCATCTTCGTCTCCTCCTCCCCTCCCCTGGCACACATGTCCAGTCTCCCTTACCTCCCTTTCCCTGGAGCCCCTGTGGTTCACAACTCCCAAGATCTGGTAGGATCCTGTCCATACAACCACCACTCTCACCAACAACTCCACACTCACACTGACAAGAGAGCCTGAAGCTAGACACACCTGGGAGTCCGCCATGCAGGGCAGTTCCCCATCTCCTGAGCATCCCCTCTTCCCTCACCAGGGGGAAATGCAGGTTCTGCTTCCATTCAAGAGCTGCAGGTGTGCTCCCGGCATCTTCTGCAAATGTCCATCCCCACCAAGAAAGTGCTGGTTGAAGCTCAAATCTACCACCTGGCTTGGTCTCCACTGTTTGGGGAAGCCTTATTTCTCACCACTGGTTCACCATCAGAACTCACACCTGGGACTCCTCACACACTCCCTCCCCCTGCGGGGCTCATGTCTCTACCTAGTTCTGTTCACGCACCCTCCAGGTCTCAACCCAGCTGGTAACTCTGTCCCGAAGCCTTTTCCGACTCTATTGGGGTCAGAGGCCCTCCCATCACACCTGTCACACTGAAGGAGAGCCCCTTTCTCCACTGAGTTGTGAGGGTAGGGACGTGTCATCTTTACCTTTAAACCCCCAACACCTAGTATGGTGCCTGGCATGCAAGAATTGTCCAATAAATGCTTGCTGGATAATGCAAGCACGACACAAGTACAGCCACATTGTCCCTTCATTGTCTTCCCTTGTAAGTTCCCTTTCCTCCTTCATCACCCTCATTTTACAGAACTCATTCTGACGTGCTCAACAGGTGTCCACTAGAAACCTTGCGAATGAAGAAGACAGGTGGCACCAAGGAGCAATTTTCCCCTGTGGGGCCTCAAAAATCAGGCTTTGGAGCCAAGGCTGCAACCCAAGGACTCTATCTTAAATATTGGGTAAATACTGAGTCATCAGAAGGGGGGTGTTGCTTTGAAGGGTTTGGAAACCACTAGGGTAGCATTTATTTATTTTTGTGAACCGGGTCTAGAAGAACACCAACCACAAAGGTGAGCAGACCACACAACTGATTAAAAATAAGCTTTTGTGGGTCCTAAAAAAAAAAAAAAAAAGTGATTCTTTCCATTTTTAACGGTTTGTGTTTTTGCCAAAAGAAAGTAGGAGACAAGCAGTTCAGACTTGACCCTTAAGGAAACAGCAGACACTCCTATTGATCCGATCTCATTTCCCTTCAGTGACTTCACAGATTAAACATTTTGTGGCTCATGATCTGTACCCGCTGTTGGTCACACAGGAAACTCAGGAAACTCAAATTCTTAGTTGCTGGCATCACAGCCCATTTTGTCAGGCCTCAGAGACAAAGAGGGGAACATGGGCATGTCCCCAAGAGGAAGCAGGAGAGGGACACTGGTCCTGCTGACACTGGCTCCGGCTGATTCTAGCTTGGATTCTTAACTGCCCACTCATCCCAAAATGGATGTGCAAACCAACCTCTTCTGCATGATCTACAAAAAACCTCCAAACCAGCTTTCTTTTTCTTGCCCCTGGAGTGCAAACTCACCCTGATGCTCCAGGCCTTGGTGCGCTGTGCCCGTTATGCTCCTACTCAAAATCCTACATTGTGCGGCCCTAGCCAGGTAATCAGTAGGTTAGAGCATTGTCCCCATATGCCAAGGTTGTGGGCCAGGGCACAAGTAAAGAAGCATGAATGCATAAATAAGTGGGATGGCAAATCAATATGTGTCCCCCCGACTCCTTCTCTCTCTAAAATCAATAAATGAAAAAGTTTTTAAAAGTTTACACTGTAGCCGAAACCGGTTTGGCTCAATGGATAAAGCGTCGGTGTGTGGACAGAAAAGGTCCCAGGTTCAATTCCGGTCAAGGGAAGGGCATGTACATTGGTTGCAGGCACAGCCCCAGGAGGGGGTGTGCAGGAGGCATCTGGTCAATGTTTCTCTCTCATCGATGTTTCTAGCTCTCTATCCCTCTCCCTTCCTCTCTGTAAAAAAAATCAATAAAATATATTAAAAATAAACAAAAGTTTACACTGTATAGGCTAAAACCTAAAGCCCTGCTTGATATCCAAGATTCCTTACAATCTGTCCCCACCTCTCCATGCAACCTCCTTCTCCTACCTTCCACTCCAGGTCTGGCTGTTCTCGTCACTGAATGCATTCTCCCCCACAACAACCCACAAGCAAGACTTACTTCTGCTCAAGCCCGTCAGCCTTCTCTCTAGAGCCCTCCTACCCTATCCTACTCAAAGCGCATCATCAAAGACATCCAGGAAGCCTTATGTTGGCGCCAGTGTCTCAACCCTAATTTTCTGTAAAACGGGTACTCTCTGAACCGAACAAAATTGCACTCAATTGCATATCATCTTGTATGGTTTCTTTTGTAAACACCTCTATTGAGATATAATCCATATACCATAAAACCCATCCATTTAGAGCCTATGGGGGTGGAGAAAAGTAATTTTACAGTTGCTTGTATGACAAATAATACAATAATTAATAAATAATAATAGAAGAATAAACTCGTTTCATGTACTCACGACTGTAAACCTACTTCTGCCCACCCCTGTAAAATTCATTGTTTTTTAGTATATCCACAGTTATGCAACCATCACCACAATTAACTTTAGAACACTTTTATCACCCCCAAAAGAAACCCTGTTCCCGTTAGCAGTCACTATCCCTCCCTCAGTTTAAGCAACCACTGATATGCTCTATAGATTTGCTTATACTGGATATTGCATGTCAATGAAATCATACAAGGCATGGTCTTTTGTGACAGCTTCTTTCATTTAGCATGTTTTCAAGGTTCTTCTGTGCTATCACAAAGCTCATTATTTCATTGTTTCTAATGGCTGAATAATATTTCATTATATGGAAATACCACATTTTGTTTACTCACTCACTGATGGATGGATAGTTGGGTGTATTGTTTCCTGACAAAAGTGTCCGTGTCTAACTTCTCTGAAGAAACAGAGGAAGCAACTCAGAGCAGAACTGACTACTATAATTTTCCCTCGGTGCCCAACAAAGTCAGAAACATAGGAAGTGCCTAATGGGTCTTGAATTGAATTTAGCATCTGGCAAAGGCTAATTTTTAAAGGAACCAAAAGATTGGCCTATGGCCTTTGGGCTACAGTGGATTTCTTCACAGCTAACAGTGCTCTTGGATGTCAAAGTCTCCATTTACAAAGCAAGGATAATGCATTTTTTTTCTGGGAGGTGATGGAAAGGTAACCAACCACTGGTTTACCAGGCCTTATCCACCTGTGTCACCTCCCAGAGCTGAGGTCCTGGCCTTAGGAACTCTCTGTGTAAGGTGGCAGATGTGAGGGTATCACTGCTCACTGGTAGCCACAGCAATCAAGTCCCTACTCTCCATTCTCTTTTGGTCTTCCCAGTGTCCCCATTTATGCCCTCATTGAAAGGCTCTTGCCACTGTGGCTCCATCTCCTCTGAGCTGGCCTTTCTCTGATCAAGACTGATGATCCAGGGCTGTACTGTTGTTATATATTAGCTAACAAGAAAGGAGCTAATTGACACCTTTATGAGGCTGGCTGTGAAAGATGAAGGAAAGAAAGCCAGTTTATTGCTTGGCCACTTGAAACCGGCATTCCAAATCCAAGAGAACCTGATTAATTGCAACGGGGATACTGGGAGGGAAGTGGCAGACCAAAGCACTAGCATTGTGCGTCTTGTTTCCTGAGAGACGAGATGGGGAATGGAAGCTGGAGGATATTTGGTATCTGGATTCCATGGTGACCTAGTGGGAGGCTGAAAATGTCTGGCGTGAGTCAAACTCGCTCTCACAGGCTCTAGGTGCCATGTGTTCAAAGTGCGCTGTGGAGAAAAGGTGCATTGTGCTTTGAGGCGCACAATACAGAGTCACTATTATCTTCCCTGGCAGCGGGGAGTTTAGGGTTAGGGCTAGGGATCGACTTGGACATCCTTAGAGGATGAAGGCTGCCAATGCCTTAGAGAACTCTCCAGAGAACAGGAGAAAACAAAGACTCCTGCTTAGCTGCGTGAACCTGATGCTGAGGAGGCCGCTGAGGCAGTTTCCTGGGACAGTGCAGATGGCAATTTGCCCATGGAAGGCTGTGCAGGCTGGATGGGTACCCCACCCCCCTTCAGTGTGAGGGAAAGGGAGTCACAGAGCAATCACCAATCC